CTCCACTGAATTCTCATGCTTTCGATAACTGATGCCTTGACACACATGGGTTGCAATCCCTCCTACAACGTATATTTTCTGGTCTAGGACACATATTCCAAATTCATAGCGGGGAATGCTAAGAGGTGCCAGGCCTATCCAGGAGTCATTCTGGGGAAAATACATTTCAACACTGAAATAGAAAAACAAAGATTACGTGAGTATACCTAACCTCCTGAAGCTCTGTGAAGTGCAAATGAGCATCAAAGACAAGTCTTAAGATTACTCCACAGACTGTATTTTGTAGAATAGTTTGTGTTAGAAGGGACCTTTAAGACTATCCAGTTCCAATCCCCTTCTGCGACAAGCAGGGACACCTTCCACTAGACCAGGTTGCTCCATGCCCTATTCAACCTGGCCTTCTTTGGGCAACCTGTGCCAGTGTCTCACCAGCCTCACACCCCCACTTCTTTCAGTATCTAATCTAAATCTCCCCTCTGCCAGTCCAAAGCCATTTCCTCTTGTCCTATCACAACACGCCCTTGAAAAAGCCCCTCTCCAGCCTTTTTGTTGACCCATTTAGGCAGTGGGAGCTGCTCTAAGATCTCCCTCAAACCTTCTCTTCTCCAGGGTGGACAAACACAGCTCTCCCAGCCTGTTAGATGTGGATAGCTACTCAGCAGCAGAGCCTGAAGTCATGATTACTTTATGATCAAGAACATGTCATTTCTAAGAATTACCTCTTCACTCTTCTCTGATTAAGTCTATCTTAATCCCAAGGACTTTCAAGTTTTCAAGGAAGCCTATTTGTCATGTGTTAGGTTAAATTTAAGATTTTATTGTCTGGAAAAATAAGAGATCAGGCAAAAAATACGTAAAATGAAAAGACCTAGAACAACAAAGTTGTAACATACAAACTTTTTATTAACCACTTTTATTAACCAAATTCTCAAATCAACAGAATTAAAATTATAAGATTTTTAGCTATTTCTGTTGGCACAAACAAAACCCTGCAATTTTGAAGATTACTCATTAAATCAAAATCTATTTTGAATTCAGTGCAATGACTTTACTATTACTTACCTTTCCAAACAGGCAAACAGTCCAGCTTTTCCTCCTACAGCACAAAGAACTTTAGGAGCACAGCGAGGTCGTGTCATCAGCATGGTCTGGTGGGAAAGTCTGTGTTCAGGCATAAAGTGATATTTTAGGGCTTCATTCAGCAGGTGTTTACAAGTATGGTCATCGCGAATGAGATGGTTTGCTTCATATAACCTCGTAAGAAACTTCACACTCAGCAGCGGCAACCGAACGCAATGTAGCAGCTGTGCCAAGTATTTCTGCCGCTCCTGCACATCATATTTGATCCAGGACTCTAGTGCATAAAAAACAGTTTCTTCTGTCACAACATTCAAGCAGTCATTGGAAACTATTTCATCCAATTCAGAATGCGTAAGCTCAAAAAATTCTTCTGTCTGACAAACATCTTCGAAATTTTGACAAATGTACTTGTTAGCAGCCAGGTAGAGGTCATGACATCCATAGGTCTCTGCAAAACGAGAAATCCCAATGCAATTACCAGGGTCAAGCTGGCTTTCGAGAAACGCACAGCACTCCTTCACTACCAGTTTGATCTGGAGAAGATTTGCAGCTGGGAGAAGTGACTCTACTGTGTCTTGCGAGATAAACACGGTTCCTGTGTAGGCATACTCCACGATGGCCTGCAGCGCTGCCTCATCGATGCACTGGAACTCCACCTCCGAGTTCTCCTTTTCAGAAAGGTTCCCAGTAAACATAGCTTTGAAGTATGGACTGATGCTGGCAAGCACCACTTTGTGGGCATGAATCTTGACATCACCAACTCTAAGGATAATGTCACAGAGCTCGTGATGCTGGCGAAGGAGGTTCAGGCCTTGTAGAAGCTGTTCCGAATGCAAGTGGGTTAAGTTGGCAAGCATGTAGGTTGGAGACGACTGGTCCATCTGTGACAAACAGAATTTTTAAGGCATTACTCAGGGCTTCATTTCAACAGTTTCATTAGTCATGTTACTTAGACATGCCACACATAACATTCACAAAATATTTTCCAGTTTTGCTTTTATCTTAATTGCGTTTATTACTTCTCAATTTACTTTTCCAATCCTTATGTGCTACGATTTTTCATGCAAGTTAAATCCAGGACAATCAAATGTTTATTAATAGTGCATGTTCTATTCACCTATGACTTAAAACCCAACAAAAGAAGCACCACTTTTTATTTTTCTGTCCTGGAATAAAATGTGTATCATATGAAGCTTTGAATACATAACAGGACTGTATATCAGATATTTAAGACAACTTAACAGTGACTGAAACAAAAATAGAGATGGATAAAGAATAGAACTGGCTTACTTAAGACAAAGTTTTCAAAAGTTCTTTAACTACTTTGTGCTACTTGCCTTGCAGCCTACTCAGTGCTTCTGTGGTGCAGCTAAGCCCTGCTGTGCTTCCCCCCCGACTTGTGCTCTGGGTAGCGCCTACCAGTCAGCAGGGCCACATTCCCTATCCAAGAGAAGAGAATCCCTCATTGCACAAAGAGGCAAAAAAGACTCACAGAGCCACTGGAGCCCTATGCTGCAGGGAAAGAGGTGCTAGAACAGAGGTTACTGCACTCTGAACAGCAACAGGAAGACAGGAGAAGGAGATCCTTGCCTCACCTCTTGAGGGGCTTCCACTGTGACAGGAAATGCCTAGTGGACGTGCCCTCACCCTCTGGAGAGGTCAGACCTGTGGAAGACTGTGAGGATGGTGAGGCACTGGCACAGATTGTCCAGAGAAGCTGTGGCTGTCCCATCTCTGTCAGTATTCAGGGCCAGGCTGGACAGGGCTTGGAGCAACCTGGTTTAGTGGAAAGCGTCCCTGCCTGTGGCATGAGGGGTGGCGTAACTACATAATCTTTAGGGTCTCTTCCAACCCAACCACATTATGATTCAATCATAGAAGCATAGATAGTTGGGGTTGGAAAGGACCTTAAGATCATCTAGTTCCAACTCCCCTACACAGGCAGGGACACCTCACACTAAACCATATCACCCAAGGCTCTGTTCAACCTGGCCTTGAACACCACCGAGGATGGAACATTCACAGCTTCCCTGAGCAACACATTCCAGTGCCTCATCACCCTTACAATAGAGAACTTCTTCCTTATATCCAGTCTAAACTTCCCCTGTTAAATTTTGGACCCATTACCCCTTGTCCTATCACTACAGTCCCTAATGAAGAGTCTCTCCCCAGCATCCTTGTAGGCCCCCTTCAGATACTGGGAGGCTGCTATGAGGTTTCCATGCAGCCTTCTTTTCTCCATGCTGAACAGCCCCAACTTTCTCAGCCTGTCTGCATATGGGAGGTGCTTCAGTCCCCTGGTCATCCTCGTGGCCCAATGATCATGATGAAGACCAGGAGCTAGGCCTACTTCCACCATCAAGAGACAAGAGGTGGGAGCTGGTGAGGAGGTGCTTCCCAGGGAAAGCAACCACATGGGTCCTAGTTACACATGCTGAGCGGACAGAAATGCTATCACTATTTCCATGTCCGCACAGCACCAGCAGCTACCCATGCTTCCCAACATCACCAGTAAGGGCAGAGAAAAGGATCCTCATTCCCACCTACAGCTCCACAAAACCCACAAACTCTTCTTTCCAAGAGTTTCAGTTTGCATCATGACGGTTAAAAGCACTTAGAGCAGGCATTAAGGATACCTGCTCTAATTTCAGCATCATTAAAATTCAAACAGTGCTGCCCACCACTACCTGTTGGCGCAGCAGGTCTTTATTCTGACTGAATTATTATAGCAGTGAGAGGGCGGAGGGTATTGGATGTGTCAGGATCCTGGACCACGAGGAAATATAACTATTGTTCTGCAACAATTCAATTTCTGAACTGAAAACCTGATTTAATTTTGATTTGCTAAATGACTACACTTCAAGATCTCACTACTTTTATCTTAATAATGAGTTCATCATTTTTATAGCTCCTTAACTGACATCTAATTTGCAGTGAGCCTACTTAGAAAGTGCTTAATCTGAAAGAATAAAATTTGTTGCCAACATTTAAATATAGAACATAATAGCACTGACAAAGAAGTAAGGGCTTAAAGCTAGAGGCAGAAAACCTCTTACCCATTAAAGATAAGTAAGCTCCTCCCTGTCCTATTACAACTCTATACTGGAAAAAAAAAAAACAAATGTATCTAAAAGAAAGTATTTAAAGTGTATCTGCATTAAGGCAAGGTACCATACAATAACATTTTCCACCTAACAATATATATGCAGCATAAATTATATTAGAAGGCACAGAGGGGGGAAAAGAGGAACAGTTCAGAAGCTAAACCACTTTGTTTTCCTTTTGTGTTCACGCTCAGTATGTAACTTGATTGCACATATACACAGAAATCACAAAACACAAGGTAACACCACATGGAAGGAAAAAGGAACAGTTACAGTTCAGATGCCAAAGCCTGTAAGAGCAGTTATAAATAATGACAGCTACGTTATTCCACAGAAATAAAACTTTTTGTACAAACCTGACAGAGATGCCTACTGATGTGCATCTCCTGAATGGCAATGCTCACCCACACCTCATATTTGCATACATTTATTATACTGCTGAACAAGAAATCAGAAGCGGGAACATTACCAGCCCCAGAGAACATATGCTAGTCCAACAATGTCTGATCACCACACAAATCAAGTGGCTGTCCTTTAGCACTGGGCTATCAGATCTTGTTCACAGTCTGCCAATAAAACTTGTCTGAATAGCAGGGGAAGACTTATTGGACATTAAAAGTTTAACCAGAAATGTAAACACCCAAGCTCGCTTACTGAAGTGCTTTTATTCCTCTAAAAACCACAGTATGTGATGATGCCTGGTAAGACACAGAACACAGCATTTTCTGTATGGGAAAACAGCAGGAAAAGCTGCAGGCACTTTTCTGTTCCAAGGTAATGTTTAAGTGCTCGCCAGTTCCTTATTTAGACTACAGAATGACTGGGGCCAGCAAGCGACTTGCCTGGGTTTGTTACAGCAGAGCTTAAAACCTCAGCAGCACCCGCCCAAAGCACAGAGCTAACTTGGGTTCTAAACACCAGACATACCACACAAAACCACTTACTGCATGACAAAAAAAGAAGCAAAGTATAACGTACAAGGAGAAACTGGTTTGCATTTCATAAGAAATTTCGTGCTCCCCACACTACTGCGTTTCACCTTCATGCCCAAGCTCCTACCCCAGCCAGTTTCACGCGGTAGAGGGATGAAGAGCAGCGGCCGGACGAGCACAAAGCTTCAACAGCCAGCAGCACGTCTCCGCCGCCCCTCTAGGAAGCCGGCGGGACGTGGCCACCCGGCGTCTGTGCACCAGCCACCCTGCCGACAGCTCTGAGACGGAGCCGTCACCCTCTTGTCGCCGTTCTCCTGGTACAAGTGCCTCCCCAGGTCAGGCGGGGCCTCTCTCCCCTCCCTATACCTGCAAGCGCTCCCTCCCGCCTTCACTCCACAGATCAACTCAGTAAACAGCACTCCCCACCGCACTGCAAACAGGTTGCGGGAACGCTACCAACGCCGCGGCGGCCTCGGCCAAGCCGGGCCAAGCCGGAGGCGCCTCTGCACAGGGCCCGCTCCGGAGCGGGGCCGGGCTCACCTGCGGGTGGGAGGGAGCGCAGGCCGCAGTGAGGCCCGGCCCGCGATCACCACTGCCTCGGTCGCCTCCGCTCGTACGGTAGCACAGGCAGCGGCAAACGTCACTTCCGGGCTCCACCGCCCCGCGCTCTCTGCCAGTCAGCGGCGGGGAAGTTCTGCGCCCCCACAACCCCAGAGGCACGGGCGGTGCCACTCCTCACGTCGCGGAGGGGGGGGAATGGTGGCTCTGCTTCAGTAGCGCCAGGCGGCGCAGCCTGTCACCGACCGCTACACTTCACGGCTATCGACTTCCGCGCGGCGCACACGCTTTCCCCAGGGCCGGCGGCGGGTTGGGTGTGTGGCTGTGGCGAGGGGTGTGCCAGCCCTCCCCCGCCCGCCGCGCCTTGGTCGGTGCCGAGTGGGCGTGGCGCTGGCCGGCTCTTAGTAACGGCAGCGTTCTAGCGTGCGCCGTTGCCAGGGTGGCTTAGTACGGTGCTGCGCATGGTCGCGGCCTCTGCGCTGTCGCTGTGCTCCCGTGTTATGGAGGAGCCCCCAGACCCTGGGATCCCGTCAAGACTCGGCCACAAGCGCTCCGGGAGGATGAGTGAGGGGAATGCTGCTGCTGCTGTTGATGCTGCTGCTGTCCCCGCCGTGGAGCTGCCGTGGGGGCTGCGGCCGGTGCTATGTAGAAAAGCCCAACGGGAGCGGCGCCGCGGGAGCGGCTGCTTCCCCTGCCCGCCCGTTGCCTGTCGCTGTGCCGGTGAGCTCGACCCCATCCTGGCCCCTCAGCTGGGTGGCCCCGTGACCCCCGGAAGGCGGGATGAAGAGTCTGGAGCTGAGCCTTTGCCACCCACCGGCAGTCAGCAGCCGCTTGGTAAGGACGCGGCGCCGCTGCCCTCCGCTGATCACGGCGGCACCGGCCTCAAGTTCGGGCTGCTGGCGCCGGAGCTGCACACTCGCCTCCTGGACCAGGACTACAAGAACCGTATGCAAGCTGTGGAGGAGCTGAAGAGGGTGGTTGAAGATGCTAGCCAGGCCGCGGTGACCTCCGTGCCTGCCCCCAGCATCCTGGGGTTCATCAGCCTTCTCTGCACTCTGCTTGGTGACTTCAACTTCAAGGTGGTGCTCAGAGCATTGGAGGTGATCTATCTGCTGGCTCTGCGCCTGGACAATCAGGTCAAGGCCTTCCTGACACCTCTGTTCTCTGCTGCTACTAAAGTCCTGGGGGACAGCAAGCTGGCCATCCGGCAGGGTTACAGGCGCCTGCTCCGGTGGCTCATGAAGGCAGTGGGTCCTCAGCAGGTGCTGGACTTGCTGCTGCAGCAGGAGTACCAGCAGAACAAAAATTCCAAAGTCCGTGAGGAGGTGATCAACATGTGCATTGTGGCCCTCCTCACTTACCCGAGTGAGGAGCTGGACCTGGCCAAGCTGGCGTTTAAGCTCGCTCCAGCACTGGTGGACAACAAGCACAGGGTCCGGCATGCTGCCATGGAAGCTTTTGCTGTGCTGGCGTCTGCCATGGGCCCAGGCAAAACCACCCTTCTCTTCAAGGCAGTGGATGCTATGGAACTGAAGGACAACGGGGATGGGTTGATGCATGCAGTGCAAGCTAGGCTGGCCAGGAAGATTTTGCCAAAGCTTGCTGACCAAGGGTTTGTAGAGTATGCTGTGCCCTTGCCATCATCTTGTCATAACAGGGCGTCCTGTTTACCCCCAGGAGCAGATACAGACTGGCTCTTGATGTGTGACAGGACTCGGAGTGCACACAGCTACTGTGGGTATGAGGCGAGGGTTGATGCTCTGCAGCACTCCAGTTCTCACAGTGCAGATGCCAATCAAATAGCATGTTCAAGAAAAGTCTTGAATGCATATAAAGGAGAAAACAAACTGCCTTGGGAAAACAAGCATGCTGAATACAAGGAAGTTGGTGCAGGAGTCAAGATGCCTGTCACACAGGGTGTGGAGCAGGTATGTACCTATACCTCACTGGACTCCTATGTCCTAAGGCGTGTTTCAAAGGGAGATGTGAAAATTGTCAAAGGTTTGTTAACTGACTGGTATGGCTCTGATATTTTATGTGTGAAGATTTTTATACATACATCAACCTGGGAAGGTTTGATAACTCCTTATGTTGTATTTAAAACTAGTACAGATCAGATAACTTACCACTTAGAAAAAAAAAAATCTTTTTCTGCAGTTAGCTGAACTTCATGAGGCACTCCTGGCATCTAACTCTAGTGACTTGTTGCTTACAATGGCCAGATAAAACCCAGGGAATGAGTACAGAAGTGGGGAAGCTATTTTAGAGCTTCTGTCTGTATATTTGCATTTGAAGGTTCCTGACTGCAAAACCTTTCCTAAATACAAAAGCTGTTTGGAGGAAAACTGACAGTTCAGCTTGGGCTTTGAAGGCGCAGCTCTGGAGTGTGGTGAGGCCAGCACTTCCTGGCAGCATCCAGACCTGAAACTAAACCAGAAAATTGCCAAATGTCTGTTGTTTCAGTCTGATTTAACTAGGAAGAATGTAGGTCAGGCTGAAATAGCAGTTCTGACTGACCTGAGCTTTGATTTTTATCACTGACCATATCAGCAGCTGCAAAGGGAAGGAACCTTTTTACTTTGGCTTTCTGTTCTGTGGCATCTGTTTTGGATACCATCCGTGCGTTATAAGATCTGGGAGTGCATCTGTGTGTGCTGGGTTTTCTGTTGGGTGGTTTGGTTTTTTTTTGTTGTTTTGTTGTTGTTTTTTTAATTGGACAGGTTTCATTTATCATAACTTGATCTCCAGTGAGGGAGTTTAAGTGAGTAGATCTTTTTATAAGATCGAAAGCTGCGTAGAGTAGAATTCCTCACTATCACGTTTACATATTTGGAACTTAATTCTTAGTTGCTTAGTAACTTGTTTCTGTGTCGGTTGAGGTCTCAAACAGTGCTACTTTGTGAAGCCTAGCTGTTAATACAGTTTCTTAATAAAAAGAAATGTGAGTGAACACTATTGTAGTGTAAAAAACCTTGAAGTTCATGTATGCATAGGTGCTCTTTTCCTCCTTTGGTGTATATATTGCCTTTATTCAAACTCCTGAAGTCATCTGTATCCCCTTCAGTTGATGAATCAGACAATTAAGTTCTCTTGGGCCATCTACAATCCAAATGGGGTCTGGAAAACAAGTTATATAGAAAACATCTCTATAGAGTGAGAAGGGTTTTCTTTTTGAAACAGCCTTTCAGTATTAACTAATGCAACCTCTAGAAATAATAGTTATTAATATGTATTTATCCCTGTAAGTGGAAGTTTCCAACTGTGAAAAGAGGGAGAGAAAGCAATTAATTTATGGGTTCTGTTTTGCTGTGTATGTAAAGTGCATTTACAAAAGATACGAACTTAAATTTGACCTGGGGAAGTAACTACATACTCATGGCTTCAATTCAGTGATGATGAGGTACCCTGTTTAGTAGGGAACATCCTTGGTAGTAATATGATAAATGAGTTTTGGATTATATCATAGAATCACAGAATGGTTTGGCTGGAAAGGACCTTAAAGCACATCCAGTTCCAACCCCCTTGCTATGGACAGGGACACCTTCCACGAGACAAGGTTGTTCCAGGCCAACTGGCCTGTAACACTGCCAGGGATGGGGCAGCCATGGCTTCTCTGGTTTTGAGACTTTGAGTCCTAGGGGCTAGTTCCACATTTACTGTAAAGGAAATTTAAACAACGTTGTGGTTCAAGTACTGAAATATTTGTGCGATTGCTGCAGGTTGACAGCTTTGTTGCCCTGTCTTCACATCCTGATTAGTTGTCTTACCTTACAGTTACATCTGTCTGAACAGATTATAAAGCTCTCCAGGGCAGGGGACATACTTTTTATTTGGCTTTGTGATTTTTGGTACAGTGTTTGCTAGCTTCTTGATGGTGCTTGTTTTGTTACATCTGTGCCATGAAACTGCTTTTATCGTGTGGTGTGTCTGTATCTGCAGTGCCAGTAAGTGAACTGTGTTTTCACCTAAGGCACGCTGGGACAAGTAAACTTGTACAGTGTTTCCTGTACTTGAATATACTCCTTCTTAACTGAAAGAAGTTGCTGTAAGCTCCAGAAATAAAGATATTTTCCTCGGGGCATTTAGCATTTAAAATGGGGGGGAGAGAGTAAGTTAGCCCTGTGTCTCTTCAGAACTATTTTCAGGAAGGTATATCCTGCATAAAATTCGGGTGTTCAAGTTGTTTGTGTAAATATAAAAAAAATAATAATTCAGACATTCCTTTGAAGTGAATTTGCTTAAAAATTCTGTGTCTGAAAGGATGCATGAAATGAGCTTAATGTTTAAAGTTTTTTTTCTACTAGTATTTTTAGGGTCACAATCCACAGTGATTGCCCAAGGCCATGTCTAGACTTCCCTGATCAGATAAGATGTGAAGTAGAACATGTGTAAGTTAATGTGTACTACAAATATACTGTAGTTAAAGCACACTGCCTTCAAAGGTTTGTCTAAATGCAGCTTCTGTCAGAGAAGTTAAATGAAATATTTCTCTGTAATCCCTGAAGTCCTTTGAAAGTGATTTTGTTTTGTTCCCATCTGCAAACTGACAGTTCCCAGCTATGATGCAGGATTCAGAAGGGCAATTTGACACTGACAAACACAACCAAGAGTTGTGAGTCCATCCTGCATGGTAGGTTTCTGCACAGCACACACAAAGTCCATTTGTGACTGTGGTGACACATGGCTGCCACCTCGAGCAGTGGTGGTATCACCAGCTATTGGTGGCGAGCTGGACACCAGAGGTGCCAGCACAGTTCCTCTTTATTTGTTAGATCTGCATGAGACTGTAGCTTGTGTTCAACCTCTTTCAGAGCCAGAGGGCTATCAAAGGCCTAGAGAGGGCTGTTTGGTCACCTGAGGAACTTCCTTGCCCCACTGCTATGGCTAACTTGGAATAAGGCATGCAGGCGTAGAGGTTTGCTGGAAAGGGAGCCAGCCAGCACCAGTGGCACAGCTCAGCGGTGCTCTGCCTTGAGGTGCACTTACCACAATGTGGCACTTGTGGGGTATATAGCATTTATACCAGTCTTTATTAGATCAGCGGGTCTTATTTCTGACTAGTATCATGTTCCCTGTGAAATACATACACTGTGGGTCCCTGTACCCATTGTTGAAAATAGTGCATCTTCCTCCTGGACTTTGGAGGGAAGCAAAAGCTTTTGAACATTCTAATGATATTTTAAGCTATGTTATGAAGCATCCACTGATGGAATTTCCCAAAACTGCCCTGCTTGGCAATATGTGTGGAATTCTTCTCCATTTACATACTGATCTGCTAACCAGAGAGAGAACTTAATAGCTGGACTTTATGAAGACCTGAGTGACTGTTCAAATGATCTGTGAGATTAGTTTTAGGAAACAAATGCTCTCTCTTTTACACAGTGATAACAAGAATTAAAGGGACATGGAAGTTGGCCTGTTTGTTTGTCTGATAAAGCTTCCTTTCATTGCAAGCTGAAGTGGGATTTGAGCTGTGTTTTTTGTGGAGGCTGGGAGAGTATTTTGGAGGTACATGATTCCATATTGGTTCTATTGTTGCTCTCTTCTTGGTAGTGTGTTTTAATTAGGAGCACCTTTTGTTTCAGCAAGTGCCTCTGCTCAGCTGTGAAGAGAATGTAAGAACAGAGTGTTTGTCAGGGATGGGTCCCTTACAAGGGCTGTGCTTTGGTAACCAAGTTAATAGTTGTTTTAGTGGAGAGATTCAAATATTTTTTTACATTGGTGGTACTATTGGGATTTAAATGAACCGAAACCTTTAAAGAAATCCTTTTGCCAGGTTCTGTCATCTACCTCAGTGAAAAATCTGGCAGTTTGGGTTTGCTTTTATTTGCCACCAGCCTGCATACCTGTTTTTAGCAAATTTATAACCGCTGTAACTAGAATCTGCATACAAGAAAGCAGACAGTTTTTATTCCTGTAGCTAGAATTGGAACAACTGAGCAAAGCTGTGCAATCATGTCAGCATTGTGTAGTTTGCTTCTTCTGCAGATCTGGTTTTGTCTGTATGGAGAAATGGGGTGTAAGGAATTTGTACAAGTAACACTTATTAGTGGAGTGAAAGATACGTAGATTGAAAATGGCGTTTTCTAGCTGGCTAATGGCAGAAGCAGAATGCTGAGTTCTCATCTCCTCTTTTATCCTGACTTGTATTAACCTGGAACCTGCTGTTCTTTTTTTTTTCTCATTTGTACAGTAAAACTGGTGTCACTCAGGTTATAGAAAGACAGCAGTGCTCAATGTTGACAGGTACAGCTGCTGTGATTGAAGCCATTTTTCTTGCTGTATAGCCATCAGAACTTGTTTCTTAACTCTTTTCAAAACTTCATATTCCCTGTTCTGCTCTTACGAAATCATTTCATACCTGCTGGACTCCTTCTGCCATCTTCCAGTAAAAATGGGATTCAAACTGATCCATTTTGTGTCAAGGCTCCTTAAATTCTCCCTTGCTGCCTTGTACTTTAAGCAGTTGTCTGCAAATACTCTAAGTGAGAGTCTAATCCCTCATGCCTGATTACAAAGTCTAGTCCTGCATTAGCACCAGCTTTCAGGGAGGAAGATTTTTATGTAAAGTTTTAAGCTTTTGAGCATTTTGGTGGATTTGCTTGAAATGCTTCAAACTCAGGACTTGTTACGGGGATGACTTTAATCCTGTCTGCTGAACTTGAAGCCTGCGAAATGCATGTACATATTTTTGTAAATGAATGCACTGTGTATGTGCTAGACTACAAATTCTCCACTCGCACAACCAGTATATTGAGGAAAGGAGTTTTTTAGACTTCAGGTGATGCTGTTCTTTCCAGCGCTGCATAAATATTTCCATTTCTGTTCAGTCTTCTCTTTTGGCCTCTGTGTGGAGCCTTGTCTGTAAAAGAGGAGACCAGAGTTAACATAGCCTGGAAATGATTTAAATTACTGATTTTTACTAATTAAATCAGAAAGCAATACACCTTTATTTAAAACATGAACTTTTCTTTGCTAAGTTTTTATGTTACTCAGACTTCACCTATAACAGGTTCTCATTATGAGGTACTAATATTACCAGGTACAGCTTTTACACTAAATCTGAGGCATGCTGTTTTCATGCCTCAAATAGCTGCTATTTAAATGCTTACACAGCTAATGTACATAATTCAGAATGTTCATGTTTAATTTTTAAAGGTGACAACTAGTGCAATTCTCTACCAGTTTTTGTTGCTGGATTTTATTTTCTTCTTCCCCTCTGTGTGAGTAGTGTCAGCCTGTATTACAGTAAGACATAGAAACCAACTATAGAATGCTTAAAATACATAAACTATTGCATAGCTGGGAAAGCTTTCATCCAAATGTTTTGCATTTAAAAATCAACTGCCTTTTATTAACAAAGGGAGTCTCAGCAGTTTGCATTGAAGAACCATGGTGCTCAGTGCTAAATTTTAAGGTTTAAGAAAATTCCAGTGTGTCTTTTTTGTGTGAAAGATCTGAATTTTTGAACTGCTGACCTGGCCACACTGCAGCAAACCTAATGCTTAGTTTCACGGCAGTGAAAGGCTTCCCATCTTATATTACCGATCTTGCAATAAAGGGTTGGGCAAGACTGTTTAACGCTGGAAAATAGAATTAGGTTATTTTTTTAAACTTGAGTAGTGCTTTGGGTTTAGGCAGTTGCCTGCCTCAATGTGGCTGTGAGAGGATGAGGTGGAAGGCGCACAGCCATGTCCCAGCCCTGATCAGTGCCCAGGGCAGTGGGGACAGACCTCCTCTCCTCTGTGTTCTCATGCCATCCTTGCAGCCAGCATTCCAGGGTGCTATGGAATAAGGCTGCTAGAGCATGTGCCTGTACTCAAGTGGTTTCTGTCCATGGGCTGTCATTTCAGTGCATTTTGCCGTTCCTGTCCACCTGCCTTGCAGTGCACAGGCAATAAACGCACAGGAGGGTTGGGACAGCTGGAGCTGGGAGCTTCTGGTCTGGCCCAGTGGCACCATTCTCGATGTCTGCTTTGGTTTTCTGTAGAAGCCTTTTTGGCTTTTTCCCCCTTGGTTCATTGTGCTTTCTTTGTGAATATATGCAGGCATCCCACTGGCTTCTGTGGGTGGCAGAAAAGGCTCATGTGCACACTTTCCTGCTTTTCATTGTCTAAGTTATAGGGAGGAAACCCCTTTATTTTGCGTGAACTCTCTCTCCCTACTACACCTATTGACAGTGGTTTGTGTAGCTGTCTGGGCTGACAGTGGTTTGTGAGGCTGGTCTGGGCTGTGGTGGGGTCTCAGTGACAAAGTTATGCGGGTCAATCTGCTGCTAATACAGAAAAGGTTTCTACAGTCATTTCACACACATGAATGCTTTTTTTTTATTATTATTTTCCTTTTTCCTACAGTTCCCTACATCCAGTGATTTACCTCATTTTCCAGAGTTAAGGCCCTGTCAAGGAGTACCAGTCAGTGATGAGTTACATTTTAGTAGAAAAAGAACTTCAGGGAATTTCATTCAGAATAGCGTAGATTTTAAGTCGGAGCATTCTTCTGTCTGTGCTGGTAAGTATTAACACAGAAATGTGTTCCATCTGCCATTTGCAAAACAGATTTAGAAGAAGCAGAGTATAAATTTGTAGCTTCATAAGCATGATTTATCATTTGTTTATTATTTGTTCTGTTATTTATTTTCATTTACTATGAAGAGTTGAGTACCAGGCACAGGGCTATGCCTCCAGATGAAGCAAGAAGCAGTGGTCTCATCTGTGCTCCTGGAGAAGTGTATGCCATCTCAAAAATTAGAATGTTCTCTTCCAGTCCTGCTGTACACACACAGATATCCACTAGTTTAGATAGATCCAAAGAGTGTATAGATCAGGGGTTTTGCAGATGGCAAGTACAAAAACAAATAGTGTGGCTAGGGGAACAAAAGGCCTTCCTTGTTTTTTGCCTCTCTAACTACAAAAGGCCTGAGCTTGCTGCAGCATTTGCAAAATTAGGAAAAAGATGTACCGTATAGGTAAGCAACAGAGTAATGCAGTCAATGTTCTTTCACACTGTAAAATACCATATGAATTGCAGATAAAGACGTAAATTAAAAGGAGACCCAGACTTTTTAGAGTGAGCTCTAAAGACTGTCTTAAAGGAAAATATCATGGTTTTAAAAAACAGGTCTGTGGAAGATTGTCAGTATAGTGTTCCATTTACACTAGAAGCATGGGCTCAGTGATTTGTATTTTAATGGCCAAAAGGCACGTGAAAGGACTGGGCAAGACCGGACCTGACTTACTCTCTTCACTTGGCAGGAGGTTGTATTCTCAGCTTTTTCTGAGGTGCATGCACATTTGTGGCATGCCAAGTTTGCTCACTGTTATGCTGTGAGTGAAGTCTAAAGAAACTCTTTGTGTTTTGGGGTTTTAAGGTGTTGTCTTAAGGGGGGGCATTGTTCAGGATTTTTCTTTTGACCCCTGCAATTCGCAGTTGGAAAAGTGTCCTGGAAGAATGGCCAGCCATTTTTCCAGTTTGTGCTTATGAACAGTATTATGAGGTTGCTTAGAAACTCTTGAATTAAGTACTTTTAAAATAGTTGTATTTTACACTGAAAGTTAGACAAAGAGTCTTAATGCATTATTAAATATTATTGACTGTTTTTTGTTGAGTACCATATATTAAGTATTTATCTAGTTACTTGCGTTTTTCTTTTGACAGGTCCTGTGGGCTCTCATCAGCCACAAATATCAGGGAAATGTGGAACACTTGGACACACGCAGACACGCGAGAAGAGTGGTAGCATAGAATCTGAACTACAATTTTTAGGATTAAGTAACAGTCAGCGAGACAAAGGTATATGAGTTCTAACTGTATCGTAAGTCAGTGCATGTTGCTTTGGAAAAGTCTCTACTTCTATGCTGCCTTAAGGAAAAAAACCAACCTATTGCTAAAACATTGTTCCATCCCTATTCAGACAAATTGTGCCTCCCTCCCATGTAGTACTTTTCATTTGTGGTTTTAATTTGCAACTCACATCTCTGATATCTGCCTATGTCAGGGTGCTGTACAGAAAGTGGCACTGTAACAGAATCGGAACTTTTTTTGAAGAACTGATTTTTAGAGTTCTCTTGCTGTTATAGTCAGATCAGCCCCAACTGTTTAACAGCAGGAGTCAGGGCTGAGCCTTGCCCTGGTTAATATACCCCCTTTGGTCCCCTCTGAGGTGTGGGCGCAGGCAGGGTGTCTCAGCAGAAACTTGTTCAGGAGGAGGCACAGGGTACTCCTTTCTGCTGGGCACAGCAGGTACGGGAAAATGAGCTTGGTGTGCTGCAGAAACACTGTGTTGGTGCATGCAAAGCTGTTAATTCTTTTAATTTGTGGTCGTCTCTCTATCGTTTTCACTAGACACATAACCAGGGTGCTGTTGTGTTAGGTGGGTTTTGCTGCTAGCTACAAAAGTGAGACTAGGGAACTGAGACTGCTCTAGTGGAAGGCATCCGTGTGTATGGCACGGGGCTGAAACCAGGTGAGCTTTAAGGTCCCTTCCAATCCAAACCACACTGTGATTCTATGAGTCTATGGTAATGATACCAAATCTATGGACAAAGATGCTTTGAGTGGTCCAGATGTGTTGTACAGGGGGTAGAGCTGACAGCCTTGGCGGAAGATATGTAGACACTTCATTTGCTGCTAGCCACTGATGGGCTCTAGACACTGTTTTTCTCTGCCTACGGGAAGAAAGGAGAAATTTCTTCCTTGTGTTTTGCCTCTGTAACTGTAGTTAATGTTCTATTCTCTTAGCCTTGGTCTTCAGAAGGCTGTCAGGTACTTTGCCCACACTTGCTGATTTATTTCTCTGCAAACACTTTTGTGCCAGATATTGCTGTTAACTGAGCCTTTCTTCAGTAGTGCAACCCACACCTGACTTAGCTTAGTTTTGCTGCCTCAGGATACCTGGAGAGCACTGGGATGCTGTAGCTTTGGAAAGCAGCAGGAGACAGATACCTTATAACGATCTGATTCACAAAGAGATTTTTTTTTTTTTTTTTTTTGTGTGCTGTAACTAAAAGCACAATAGAATGATTTGCTTTGGAGTGACACAGATGACTAAGAGGCTCTCTGAGTGCGACTGACATTGTCATTTGCTCTCACTCGCAGGCTATGCTTTTCCATTCTTCTGGTTGTGCCAGTGGAATTGTTTGCAGGGCAGTTCTCTCAGCACGACAGCTGAGGTGGCCCAGCGCTTCCAGAGGCCGTCAGGAACTTTGATAAAACTTGTCCTGATTTTTACTTGCATGTGGGGGAACATGTGTCTGTTTTTTATGGGAAACAATTAAAATGGTATTGTTCCACATCTACACTTATCTTTCTATTGTTGTTCTACTGGTTTTTGGGAAAAAAAACCCAACTATAGTTTGTTTGTTTGTTTGTTTGTTTTTTTAAGGAAGTAGAATTTATAACGTTTGTGCTTTATTTGTACTCTTGTATCACTGAGTTTTGAGAGTGGTGGTTGCAGATTTTATGCGATGCAGCCTTGGGATATGGAGCAGCATGCAACAGAACTGTTCAATCCTCTTGCGTAATCTGTTTTTCAAAATCTAGCTCTTTAAAAATGACTGGGAAACAGCTTAGTCATAAACTCATGGGATCAAGTGCAAAAAAGGAAATTGATGTTTTGGGGGACAATGCAATTTGCAAAATAAAGTTAGCTGATTTGTTTGTTTGTGTGGATAGAATGCTGACATTCAGTTTTTGACTGTGAAGATGGTGTGTTCTTTTATTACAAGAGCTGTCAAAGAGGCTAATTACCACAAATACTATTTTCTTTCTCTTTGCTCAGGTTGTACCAGCCTAAATTTTTCCAACACGACCCAGAGAAGTTTTTACAATCAAGCAGAGAATACGACGCCCTTCCAAGGTCCTAATGCCAATATAGAAATACCTGTTACTTCTAATATTCTAATACCTGTGCAAGAAGAATATTACTCATTTCATTTGGCCTTCTTGCCTCTTTATTTGCATTTGGAAATGTAAACATGGAATTCTCCACACTCAGACGAGCTCTTTAAAAGCTGCTTACAAACAACTATGTCTCTAATAAGTAGAATCTGTGCTGATTTCATCCCAATTTATACTGACAGCTAGTGGTAGAGACTGCTGTTTGTGGTGTGATTTACTGTCTTTGAAGACCTCGTGTAGATTTTGGTTAACCTGAAATGGTGTTGACTTAATTACAGTTGCTTTACCAATTTAGCTGATTTCTTTCAAATACTTACTAAAGGCAATCTAAGATTAAAAATAGCGTGTGTGCTCATCACTTGCTGATTTTGTGTATGTTGTCCATATGCATTTTGTTTGTGTTTTTTTCCTGTTTCTTTGGAGTAACTTTATTGTCATTACAACAGCTTATAGGACAGTTTGTCAGGGCACTATTCTTTTTTCTTAACTAAGGAAGCTAAGTACTTTTTAAAGGTACCAAACAAGATGTTGTTGAAATGTATTTATAATAGTAAATTAAATTGTGTATGGTTTTTTTTAATGCTCATCTCATTGTAAAGGGCGTTTTCTGGTGTCATATAGAAACGACACATCAGGTTTATTCTGGTGTGTGCTGTAATCCTGCCCACCCCTACAATGGACTGACATCTGCTTGTGTCTCTCTTCCAGGGGAGAATTTGCAGGAGAAACATGCTCCTCTGCAGCTGAAACCCACCCTGGCGAGGCAACAAGTCCCCTGCAGAGGCCTAAATGGGACAAAACCCATCCCTCCCATTCCCCGCCTGCTGCCAGATAAGATAAAGTTAAATTTGACAAAGTGCAGAAATGAAGAGTGCAAGAACATGAGGCTGAATAAAACAGACAGGAAGCTTGCAGCAGCTGATCTTTCAGCCTTGAATGTGGATGGTGAGGAAGTGGACCAGGAAGAGGTTAGTTTAAATATATAGCATATAAATTGTGGAGGTTTTTTTTCCAGTCAAGAGCCAGAAAATAATGTTTCTGACTTAAGTTTTGTGACACTGTCATCAGTAAGCAGATTTCCATGAGATACCATTGGGTGTCTGATAGCTGCTAAATAAAGCAACAAAAACTGATGTGGAAGCACACTTCTCGTGTTCCAGACATCTTAATTTCCCTTGCTTTTCTCAGAGCTGAAGTCGTACTATTTTCAGTTGCTGTAGTACCAGTGCTAAACTGTAGGTCTTTATACAGCCTCTGTTCTCACTATTGTGACTTCAGGGACCCCAGTATAAGGACATGGATCTGTTGGAACACGTCCAGATGAGGCCACGAAGATGCTCTCCACAAAGCTGGAGCACCTCTGCTCTAGAGACAGGCTGAGAGAGCTGGAGTTCTTCAGCCTGGAGAAGAGAAAGATCTGGCGAGACTTTAGAGCAGCTCCCAGTGCCTAAAGTGGCCAGCAAGAAAGTTGTCAAGGGCCTGTAGGGACAGGAAAAGATTTAGATTAGATATGAGGAAGAAGTGCTTTCCTGTAAGGGTGGTGAGGCACTGGCACAGGTTGCCCAGAGAAGCTGTGGCTGCCCGATCCCTGGCAGTGCTCAAGGCCAGGTTGAACAAGGCTTGGAGCAACCTGGTCTAGTGGAAGGTGTCCCTGCCCGTGGTAAGGGGGGTGAAACTGGATGAATTTTAAGGTCCTTTCCAACCCAAACCATTCTGTGATCCTATGGTTATTTCCGGGGATGGAGGGGAGGTGGAGCTGTATCCCCAGCATCCACATCAGTACACATCTAAACTATTACAGCATCAATTACACAAGAAGCATAGGGATCACCATGACTGGATTTTGCTATGGTCTTACCCACATGCTCCAATGCCACATCCTTAATTTCTGTCACAGTTCATAGATTGTCTGAATCTCAGGTCCTGTCTTTAGCACCTGTGGATCTGACAGCATTTGCAGTAGGATTTAATGTCTTTGCCTTACTGCCTTTATCTTCCATACTCTAGTCACTTCTGAAAGTAACTTGCGTTGGTAAACAGATGGGAAGAATTTTTTTAATATCAAATATATTCAGCAAAAAGAGTGTAGAATATTCAGTAACATGATTCTCTAGTGATTACAGATTTTCCTGCTTATTTGAGTAGGAGCTTTGCTTACTAGGCACCATTTTCAGGATTCACTTCTGTGTATTTTGCAGCTTTGTGCAGTTCTGTTGTGAAAAGCCTGAGATTCCAGTTGCCTGTACTTGCAGCTATCAAAGGCTTCCTTTAGTCTATTAAAAAAAGATAAGAGTTGAGGTATTTCTTCAGGAATCTCTTCCTGTGTTTTGCAGAATGAAGCTAGGATACAGTGTCACTGTGACTTTGCATTTACTTGCAGGATAATTACTCTTGTGAAGTAAAACAATGAAAGAGATCGTTATAATATTGCATGACCTGTGTAAATGGTTGGTCACATTGCCCAACAGGGGCATGTGCACTCCTGTGAATTGAACTGAACACTCACAAACATACTTTCTTCTGTTTACAGAAGCTTATTTTTTTTCCTGTGCACTGAATAAACCCTGTCATTTTGTTTTCAATCCTTTTTAGATGAAGAATTCATTAAGATCTCTACGAAACAGTGCCGCTAAGAAAAGGGCAGTGTTAAGCAGCAACATTTCAGGTCTTGAAAGTCCTAATTCTGCTCTTAAACTTGATCTGTCTGGGGGTTCCCCCTCCCATGTGTCCTGCCCAAGTGTGGATGTCTACAGCGAAAGCGGTGTTTACAGCCAGGACTCTGTAACTTCACCCATGTCCACAGTCCCCCACAGAAGGAGAAGAATGTGAGTTGAACGCGTGTGTTTACTCTGAAATTCTAACACATAGTCTCTGCTGGTGTTAGTTAAATAGGAAAGGGAGTGAAACCTGTAATAAGTTTGTATATAAGATTGCTTTGCTTAATAGCTTGATTTTTATAGGTGAATTATTTTCCTATCTGAAAATATGCTGCTGTACAGGGCAGCTGCTTAATTATGTTATTCTAGTTTGTGCTGGCTTTTAATTTGCAAGAGTTTCCCGGTGCAGCCATAGTAACACAGTGCAGTGAAGTGCTGCCTGCAGTAGTGAATATTTTATTAAGACTTTAGTCTCCCTTAGAAGGTATGTGAACCATAGCCTAAACAAATGAGTAAGAAGGAGAATGAGTTAATAGGAAGGATATAGTTTGCTTATTATAGCCTGGAAATTTAAGAAGGAATGGGTTGATTTTTTATGATAAGAGGAAGACAATGCAGACGTGTTTCTTATTACTGCAAATCATGAACTGTTTCCATTTTATTCCTGACAGGCTATTGTTAATTTAAAATGCCTTCACAGAGCTCTTCTAAAAAGAAATTGTATGATGACACATCCTCCTCTGACTTTAAAGAACAATGACCCAGTTGGTTATGAGCAGTATAAACTATTTTTTAATGAAATAAAAAAGGTTTTGAAGGATTTTTCAAATTTTGCAGTACAGAATCTCCTTTTCTGCTCTTGGAGCCCATGATAAAGCTGCTTGTAGCTCTGCTCTGAAGATATTTTTCTGGGTTTTTTTTGGTGTACTAAGTGCATCTTTTTATTGCTGGTATAAAACTGTCTTAACAAAATAGGAAGGAAAAGAGGGAATATGCAAACAAAAGGGTTTTAAGACAAAGAGACTGGAAGGATTCAGAAACAGAAGGTTTGCACAGTTCTGTGATCTCAGAACTAATTTATATGTATTACTACATATATGTAGTAATATGCTTTACTGCAGAATCACAGTTTTAAGAATAAGTTTTAAAATATTAAAATGCTAGAATACCTAAAAAGCCATGACTATAAGCTTCTGTGTATAATGTTCTTCCAGGCAGGGTTTTGGCCGAGGGCATAACTCTAACCAACATGCCTTTTCCATTATTCAGTGACACACAGACTGAAAGTTTTACAGGATTCACAGACAGAGGAATTCTGAACTAACAAGGAAAAGAGGGGACATCTGGCACTAAGACTGAATTTGTAAAAGTGACAAAATATATTCCAGAACAAAATCTGGCAACAGTAATGTGGGCTTTTTTTGTGCATTTACCGTTCGAAGGATCGGTTTATCTACTGGTAAACTGCCGTGAGAAATGGGAGCTTGGCACTAGTATTAGTGATGTTTCTGGAGCATGGGCTTTCCTCAGGGTCTTAAAAGCAAGCCTTCTAGTTGTGTATTTCAGTCCTAGCAGAGAGTGGAAGAGCTGCTGTTTCCATGTGACTATTATGTAGTTAGGCACAGTACTTAACAGCGCAGGGCTTTTCCAGTCAGCTTTAACACTCAGTCACATCATTTTAAACAAGAAGTATCAAGATTGTCTGGTAAATAACAGCATTTTTCTGGTGAATGTCTGTCTGCTAGACACTGAGCTGAAACAAGCTAATTTCTAGAAGTGAAAGGCTAATGGATTTGGTCACTCTGATTTGCCATGCTTTGCTAGACAGAACCAGCATTTTCAGCCCCAAGGCCAAACAAGTCTTAGTTTTTTTGAGTGTATGCTAAATTTAATCCCGGTGTAAAGTTTACTGTCAAGGATTGTCTTTATCGTGTTCTTTGTAATGGACCTGCTCATCAAATAATCTCTACTGAGTTAATTTTCTTTGTCTACTCAAGTGAACATTTGTGGAAGCATACTGGAAATATTTGTCCATAAGCTACACTGGGGAGGAGAGACTGAAATCTGTTGGTTTTGCTACATGGTGTTATTTATCTGGACTCTGACGAGGGTGTGGCATTGTACCTATACAGATGTGTTTTCTATTTTAACAGGTCAGACAATCTTCTACTACTTGGCAAAAAATCACAGACTGCAAGAACATTTTCTGCAAGAAACAGAGACCCTAATGTGGAAGAACATAACACCAGCACAGGTATAGCGTTGTGCCTTTCAAAATAAACCTTGCTTCACTGATGTGAAGTAACTTGCTTCCTTCTGCAGAGAAGGACTTGGGGGTGTTGGTCAATGAGAAACTTAAGGTGAGCCAGCAGTGTGTTCTCACAGCCCAGAAAGCCAACCATATCCTGGGCTGCATCAAAAGGAGCGTGAAAAGGTTGAAGGAGGTGATCTCTGCTCTCGTGAGACCTCACTTGGATTATTGTGTGCAGTTCTGGTGTTCTCAACATAAAAAGGACATGAAACTGTTGGAACAAGTCCAGAGGAGGGCCACGAGGATGATCAGGGGACTGGAGCACCTCCCATATGAAGGCAGGCTGAGAAAGTTGGGGCTGTTCAGCCTAGAGAAGAGAAGGCTGCGTGGAGACCTCATAGCAGCCTTCCAGTATCTGAAGGGGGATTCTAAGGATGCTGGGGATGGACTCTTCACAAAGGGGCAACAGGTTAAAACTTAAACGGGGGAAGTTTAGACTGGATATAAGGAGGATGTTCTTTACTGTAAGGGTGATGAGGCACTGGAATGGGTTGCCCAGGCAGGCTGTGAATGATCCATCCCTGGTGGTGTTCAAGGCCAGGTTGGACAGAGCCTTGGGTGGCATGGTTTAGTGTGAGGTGTCCCTGTCCATGGTAGGGGGTTTGGAACTGGATGATCTTAAGGTCCTTTCCATTCTTAACTATTCTATGATTCTATGTAGGAGAATGTTCACTTGATGTGTCTGTTCTTATTTGTTCAATGAGCTCCTGTCCCTTCATCACCGTCCATAGCATTCCTTGCTGGAAGAGCATCACCATCTTGGGTATCCCAAAGCAAAATATTCCCTAGCAGAACAAAAAAACCCTGCTCTGATCTGAGTTCTCAGCTGAAGAAGAAAACACAAGAAGTCTTCTTAAAGATTTCAGTATGGCTGTTTATCTCATGAGGATGTGGGTGCGGTGACAGTGACAGCCATCAGTGCAGAACTTTCTTCTCATAAAGCATAGAAAAGAGCTCCAAAATTAAAACTGTGGAATCAGATAATTTGTAAAGTAAAGAGCTATCTGCCAGACTCTTACCTGTGACTATTTTTGGCAAACTAAAGCCTGAGATGAGAGTGTAAAGCGCAACAGAGTTGTCAAGAGCCCCAAGTTGTTGAGATGCTGTGGCTTGCCTGGTAAAGGACATTTTGCAGCAGCCACAGATGTAGGTGGTGGGCTCGAAGTTTACCAGAATACTTCTCAGCTGAGATGGTTCAGTAGTCCCCTGACTTCATTTTTGCACATTCTGGTAGAAAGTGTAAGTAATCAAGTTCTGCTAAATCATCTGTTGAGAAATTTCAGATGAACCAGATTAAATAGCAAAAGTAAATTGTGCCCTTCTTTTGTCACAAACTATAATTTTTACTTGCAACTAGTGCAGCCAATACAGAAGTATATCATATATGTCATCCACTTTGGTGAACAGTTTGAGGGACTGCTAATTTAGGTGGGAAACAGCATTAAGTGCTGCTTGGGGGAAAATACATTGCAAATTCTGTTATGCTTCAGTTGTGCTGAATCATGTAAGAAACAGTGCTATCCTTCCAGTAAGTGCGTTAGGAACTTCTGGTTGTTTAGTTGGTTTTTTTTTCAGTGGAATAAGTTGGCTTAAAAATCCTCTTGCAAACACTGGTTTTCTTTATGATCTTTTAGCAGCAATTCTGTTTGATACATGCTTTCCATGGTTTTGGGGATATAAATATTTAATAATTCCTCTTCAGGAACTTGCAAATATACTGATTCATTAAAGCGATAACTTCAGATGTCAGTGTATAACGTTTTAGAAGAATAAAACATGTACCAAAGTGTAAACTACATTATTTATATTATGTGATTTATTTTTTTTAAGGTCTTGCGGAGCCAGCATCTACTTTTCCACAGACAAACAATCTAGATTTCATCTCACAAAGTGTCCCATCTGAAGATGCAGTTGTAATTGCTGGTAAGGGTATTACAAAACCAAAATTATCTTATTATTATGGAATGGGTTGCCCAGGTAAGCTGTGAATGCTCCATCCCAGCCAGTGTTCAAGGCCAGGTTGGACGAGGCCTTGAGTGATAGGGTTTAGAGCGAGGTGTCCCTGCCCATGGCAGGGGGGTTGGAACTTGATGACCTATCTTAAGGTCCTTTCCAACCCTAACTATTCTATGATTCTATGAAATGCATCCTTGTCATTAGAAGATGTGGCCGTGAATCCTTCAGTAAAAATAACATCCAACTTCAAGAAGACAAAACATCCAGCCTTGCTACAATGTGGTAAGTTGTTTTAAGTTAACTAAATACTATTAAAATATTTGGACATGTGGAGTGGAGCAGTTCCAAAATACTCTTGGGTTTATTATGAGTTATTTGTACAACAGACAGTCCTGAGGTGCTCCAGAAGGTTAGTAATTTTGGGGTGGTGGTGAAGGGGATTTGAATTCATAACCATGTGCATTTAGTTTTGCACTAAACAATCCACTATATTTGTGCTTGTGACTCCTTAATGTGGTGACTATTTGAAAAAACATTCATTCACATGAATGAACTAGTGAGTGATCAAGGTTGTAACTGGGAAAGCTGTCCATTTGAAAACCTGGTCCCTTAGTAGCAGCAGTCTATAGCTTAAACTTCTTATATTTCCTTTCTTAGAATGAATTAGTTTTTTCAGATTATGCTAATTATTTCTTATGCTTCATGACTTTGCAGATGAAGTTCCTCTTAGGGCACAAGGAAACTATACAGGCAAGAGGCCATCAGTCACAGGAGCAATGGACAAATCGGAACTGCGTCCCTTTTCAAAGCCGGAAACGGCACTGACAGAAGCCTTGACACTTCTAGCTAATGATGACTGGTAGGTGTAAACATCTGTCTGCAACCTGGATGTAATGTAGAAGGCATTTATTTTGATAACTTTAAAAACGAACAAACAAAACCCCCAAAATAAAACAGCAAAAAGGGCATAACATAAAAAGTAGTGAGAAGGATTGCAGTCATATATGAGAAAAAAAGAAAAAAAAAAGGTGCTTTTTTTAATCTAAACCTAGATTAAACAGTGACTATTGTAAATTGAGGCTGATAGATAAGCTTTCAGAGGCTTGTGGACCTATGTAAGTTTAAGCATTGATCTGGAGAGGGGCCCCATCAATATCTTCCTGTCTCTTCCTGTTGAATGTGGGCTCTTCAGTGTCTGTCTCTTCAGTGGGCTCTGACTGGTGAAATGGGGCTACAGTGCTGCTACCTTTTCAACTCGGGGAAGGAAAGTAATGCTTTAATTGCCACTGGTGCAAGCTGTGAACAGAACTGTAGGAAAGAATTGAGAGACTGGTATGCTAAAATACTCCTGCTACTACATTAAAAGAAAAACTTGCATTGAAAGAATTTTGTACATTATATGCCATTGCTTAATTTTACAATCTAATTTGTTTGCCGTTTTGTTTCTTGGCATTCTAAGGTTTAATATTTTTACAAAAAAAATGCAAATTGAATTACTTAATTGCATTTGATTTTTTTTTTCCATAGGGAGAAGAAGATTGAAGGTCTGAACTTCATTAGACGTTTGTCTGCCTACCACACGACTACTCTGACTGCAAAGCTACATGAAACAAGCATGGCTGTGGCTCAAGAGGTTATACTTTACTATCAGAGTATTTCACTGACTGTGGGGGTGTATGTATTGTATAGCTCTCAGATAAGCTGAAATCTGGTAAGGATGAGTTTGTGTTCAGCAAAGGAGCTCATACTTCAGATACCAACACTTGATCTGATTTGCTAAAAGACTGAAAATATTTAGATAACAATGCTGTTTTTCATGTGTATGTATTTTAATTCTCACACATTGTGCATCAAGTTAGACATATATTTCTCAGTTGCTTTTAATGTTAGTTAAAAATTACGAAGGGAAATATTAAGTTGTATTTATTTTAAAGTCTATTTTATAAACATTCATCATTGTTTGTTTGGGTTTTTCCTGTGTGCAGGTCAAGAATTTACGCTCAGGTGTTTCTCGAGCTGCTGTGATCTGTTTAGGGGATTTGTTCACCTACCTGAAAAAGAGCATGGATCAAGAACTAGATTATACAGTAAAAGTCCTTTTGCACAAAGCTGGTGAATCCAACACATTTTTAAGGGAAGAGGTAGACAAAGCACTGAAGGCTGTGGTTAATAATGTGACTCCAGCACGTGCACTTTCTTCTCTTATAGATGGAGGGCAAAGGTAATTCTTATAGACTTTATATAGAAAAAAGTTGTGAATAGGTTAAGTTTACCTAATATAGTCTTTTTAAAAGAAAAATAAAAATAGAATAGGCAGAAATTTGAAAATATATAAGTCAGCTCTGCAAAACTTCTCCCCAGGGCAGTGTTTGTTGGTGTAGAAGTAAAATGTAGACCCCCAACCTTCTCTTTCTATACATTATGTTAAAAGTTAGCTGTTGATTTTTGGAGCTTGCTATATTTTCTTGTAATTTTGCAACACTGAAGTAATTTTATTTGCTTTTAGTAAAGCTCATACACTACATTACATACATTACATACATACATTACTACATACATACGCTATTAAAGCTCACATCGCATTCTTTTTGCATTTGCTCTGCAAAAACACGACTGTCTTTTCAGTTTTCAGCCCTAAGTTTTATTCAGAAAGATGATTTATAACTTACAGTTCTTTAGCTGCAGCTGTCTTGGTTGATTTCCTGTTCTTTACCCTTAACTGATTAATAGTCTTTTTGTCTGCATTTTAATTACCTTTACAGTGGTGGTGGCCATTATTTTCTTCAGTACCTGAAACACAACAAGCCCCTGTTTCCAATTGCATGCTTTGATTTTGACCATTAGCTTGCCTCAGTCTGTAGTAGAAGTTGACTTCCTTTCTTTCACTTTCCCTGTAAAGTATGTTGTTCTTTTTCTTTTATATCCTCATATATCCACTTAATCAAGCATTCCAGTATGTTAGATATATATGTATCTAATTGTACTTGATCTTTTATCTCTCTGTCATCACTTAGATGACATTTAATAGGCTACAGTTCTCATCCCTTCCATTAAGTATTTCAGATGCCACATTATTAATCAATCCTTAAGATTTGTAGCTGTGCAGAAAATCTAAGACTTAGCCTTGATTCAAAATGGTTTGTTTCCTATTTCGTTTCCTGGGAAGTTGGTTGTTGTGGGGTATGTTGATTCTGTCTCCTGAAAGCCAGTGGGAACCATACTGCAATTACCTGAACTTCAAACTGCTGAGAGGCAAATAGCAGCCTCAGGACTTAAATTAGTTATCAGTCATGCCTGTATGTAGGGTTGGTTTGGATTTTTTGGTGAATTTAAGAGCAGCAGGCAGTTACTGCACACTGCTTTAGTTCAGAAGCCATATAAAGTGGTCTGTTCAGGTACTTTCATATTGTCTTCAGAAATCCTTGGACAAGCAATACTTATGATCATAATTGGCTACATCTTGATCTCCCCATTTTCAGTGGCAGATTTAAATACACTGAGCTACCCTTAAGAATTTTCTAGACTTATAAAGGTTTGACCCATCCAATTTGTGAACTCAGGCATCTAAGGCATCAAAATTACCTGAGCGGTGAGCGCAAATACAGCATTTAAAGCAGGGATTAAATTCTTCACAGCTAAGAAGACTTGAGTCAAAGCGGTGTCTAAATTGTGGAGTACAGGATGTTTTTAATGTGTTATCAGTGGATGGCCTAACTAGCACTGTGAGTTACAGCTTTTCTAGTATTGGCCTCATGATACTCTGGCCGTATGAGCAACGAAGCCCATGCAGCACATTCAGAGCCGTTGCCTCCAGAGGCTGTAACAGTGAATGTGAGAATTACCTTTCAAAGGGGAAATCCGGGAGAAAAATTATGTGTCTTCAGTATGAGGTGGAAAGGTTCTGTTGGACACAACTGCAATTACACAAAGGATATATTTTCTAAATTGGGCAATTTTTGCTGTAAAGATACTGGACTATTGCTGTAAACTCATATTTACAAACAGGTGCTTGATCCAAGAGCATGATTGCGAGACTAATCTCAAAATGATTGTATTTCAGAAATTTTAAAATCGTGTTTCTTACCTGTAGGAACTCAGTTTAATTCTAAGGTCTTACGTGCATGCAAAAAGATTTCTAACTATTCTGCATGAGCAGCAGGCGTTCATGGGGAACAGGGGCTTGTTTGCTTCTGTGGAGTGAGGGCTTTGCACCTCATGGTTCTTGTTTTCCATTTGGTGCATGCAGCAGGAGTTAAGTCTGTTACCGTTTCCCTTCTCCTGAGACATGTGGCTGCTATATAGACATAACTGCATGTACTAAGCATGAGCCAAAACTAGTCTTAAGCTAGTCTTAAACTTGGTAGCGCAGCAGCAGCTGAGAGGATGGCTGCTTTGTGCAGTATAATCTAGTGATAGTTTTAGATCCAGTAAGGCCGTGGTAATTTGCGGAACCAGAGAAAGTGAAATATTGGTGAAATGGGAACACAGTTATTCAGGAAGAGCACTGGACATTCATGTCAAACCGAAAAGCTGGGAGACACTGATGTGGCTTCAAAGGCAATTATGTGCCTTAGCTCTCCTTCAAACCTGTATCTCCTGATGCACCATACAAATGTCTCATTGACTTGTGTGATGATACTGACCTCAAAAAAGAGTTTTTAATCCAAAGATAAAAATAAAATTGGAAAAGTTTGAATTTGCAGAATTGTGTACCCTGACGTGTGGGAACAGTAGGTATAGCAGAACTTATATGAAAGGTTAGTTTGCTACACAAGTTTGAAACTTAATTCCAGCTTTTCTCTCATTTTCATCAGCATAGGTGTTTGAGATTTTAAGTGAAATTTAATCAAATGGATTACGCTTTTAAATAAAGTTATCTGTGCTCCACATCTCTATATGACCAGAATAAGGATCTCATTTCACCAGTATAGTACTTGCAGATTATGCTAAAGATGAAAAAAGAAAAGAAAACTTGTATAATCTATTTGGTAGAGCACATAAATATTGCTGTTTGACTCCTGTGAGGAGTTTTTACTAAGCAGCTGTGTTTTCTTTAGCCACCTGAATTCAGCTGTGAGAAGATGCACAGCTCAGCACCTGTCAGACACTGTAGAACGTATGGGCCCGGACCGGATTCTGTCTGGAACCAAAGGTGATGCTGATCGGCTTTTCCCTGCAATAGTCAGGTTTACACAGGACAGTTCACAACAAACAAGGTTAGTAAGTTTAATAGTTAAGCACATTCCAGGTGGCTGAATCATAGAGTCACAGGATCATGGAATGGTTTGGGTTGGAAGGGACCTTAAAGGTTATGTAGTTCCACCTCCCTGCCATGGGCAGGGACACTTTCCACTAAACCAGGTTACTCCAAGCCCTGTCAAACCTGGCCTTGAACACTGCCAGGGATGGGGCACCCACAGTTTCTCTGGGCAACCTGTGCCAGTGCCTCACCACCCTGACAGTGAAGCGCTTCTTCCTAACATCTAATCTAAATCCACACTCTTTCAATTTAAAGCCATTCTCCCTTGTCCTACCCCTACATGCCCATGTCACAAGTGCCTCTCCAGCTTTCTCACCAGTCACTTTAGGTACTAGAAGCTGCTGTAAGGTCTCTCCAGAGCTTTCTCTTCTCCAGGCTGAACAACTCCAGCTCTCTCAGCCTGTCTCCATAAGAGAGGTGCTTCAGCCCTCAGAGCATCTTCCTTGGCCTCTTCTGGTCTTGCTGTAATAGGTCCATGCCCTCCTTATGTTGGGGGCCCTAGTGCTGCATGCAGTGCTGCAAGTGGTGTCTCACCAGAGTGTAGAGGGGATGAATCCCTTCTAACGACCTGCTGGCCACGCTGCTGGTGATGCATCCGAGCATATGGTTGGCTTTCTGGGCTGCAAGCACACATGGTACAGGGACTCAAAGAACATACTCTGTTGGGCACAGATGAGATGCAGGACACAGAGGGATTGCTGGCACTGGGATCCACGCTGTCTGACTGATAAGGCTTGACCATCCTATTTAAAGACATCTGAAATGGAAGACTGTTTTCATTAATTTGCTCAGTTGTTGATTAAATAGTGATTCTTGAGCACAGGTTTTTTTTGTGGGAGAAAGAAATGTGTCTCTGTATCTATGGATAGCAATCTATCTGTACTTCAGTATTCTGGAATTACACATCTATAATTATCAATAGAGATACAAAGCAAATCCCTGTTTACAGCTGTAGATATTGTGGTCTGTTGCCCTTCAGGTATTATGGTCGAAAGATGCTCTTCAGTATGATGACTCATCCTGATTTTGATAAAACAATTGAGAAGTATGTGTTAACCAAGGATTTGCCTTATATTAGGGAAGCTATTACCAACCTACGTAAAAAGGTATGTGGAAAAGCTCTTGTTTAACAGCTGAGAAATGTAAACGCGTACTAGTGGCAGTTAGAGGTAGACAATGAACCTAAAGTGAAGGAGGGCAGAGCATTCAAAGCAAGCCAGGTAATCAAGTCACTGCAGCATGGCAAGGTGCTGCTTGTTAGCTGCCCTCTTCATGCTTTTACTGCTTGCAGATACACTGAAGGGGATGTACTTTACTGCTTTTTATAGCTTTTTTTTTCTCTAGCAGAGCAGAACTGTACCAGCCATGTTAATTAACAGTTGTTCCTCTGTGCAGGGTTTGGATGGGCTGCCATCAGATAAACTCTTATCAAAAAGAAGACATTCCCATACTAGTAGCGTTGGACATTTGAAAGATAATACCAATGGCACTGACAGGTAATCATCTTCACTGTTTTAACTTGCTAGCAACTTACACTCTAGGATAGTAGCCTCACTGCAAGCAGAGAGCACACAAGCATTGACAACAGGGTTGTGAAAAGTAAACGTACCTTCAGGAAATGGAAAAATTTGACATGTCCCAGCTAAGCTCTTTGAAATGGGGTAATTGGTAATATTAAAATAGCTTTTTGCACTTTGAAGTTAATTTGCCTATCGACTGCCTATGAAATATACACACAGTGGACAAACCACTTGGATTTCATAGTAAGTCCATGTTGTCATCAGTTAAAGATACTGCTGTTCACACTCTATAGAAAAAACATCTCTAGTGGTAGCCCCAATGCAGATTATCCATGCACTTTCCTGGACAGCAGGTATTTAGATCCTAACCGGGGATGCTGAAGGTTTTAGATGATACTGTGTTGCTTTTTAGTTGTCCAAATGCAGAGAACAAAATGTTAAAATTTTAAACAGAAAATGAAACGGTCTGGAAATACACACAATATTCAGAAGCGTGAATAAGAACCTTACTTATCATATATTCAGAAAACACAGTGATAGGTTTAAAGGCATAAAACCGTAAAAATATATTCTTTTAACAAGCCCTAACTCCTAGAATCTGGTAGAGGATAACATATTCTTTTACTGAAAACACTGACATTTTTGAGGTTAAAACTCCTATTTCAGCGTGCTTATGTGTTCACTAAGTAACTTCTTCCTTTCCAACAGAGAGACTACAGAGGCCTATGGAGTCATAAGAAAAGCAGCTCCTCGTAATTTAGTAGAAAATGAAGAATATGTTAAAGACATCATAGGTTTATTGAACGCAAAGGACTTCCGTGATCGAATACGTGGCATTAAGCAGCTGTTATTTGATGCACAGAATAATCAAGGCTTTGTTGTTGCAAACATCCTGAAGGTAAGTGTATGAAAATATTTTATTTCAAGGGTCTTTAAAGCTGTTTTTGGATAAAAATCTTTGCTCACTCATTCAATAAGAATGTCTGATTAACAGGAAAATAGTGAGGAGTAGGTGAGATATGCTCCAGGGTGAGCTGTGCGAGCTACAAAGGTAGTAAAGGAAGTAAATAGGACGAAGAAGCTGGAAGTTTTCACTTAGAGAAAGCACTCTTTATTCCTGGCATACTGCAGGCCAGTTTTCATGCCATGGCTGAGTAAATATCAAACTATTGGAACAGCTTACAGAAAGAACAGCAAGGATTAATCAAGATCTGAAAAACTGTCTGAAACACAGCTGCAAATTCTGCCTGCTTGCTTTGCCTAGGAGAATGTGAGGAAAGGTCTTTGTTATGATAAAGCTTACAGGAAGTATCCTTTGTATTAGGAAAGGAGTTTCTGTAGGGGAAAAATACTGTGATGAGGTCCAAGAGTTGTAAACTAGAGACAGATACAATGAAAGGAAAACCACGATTGTCTTCCAACAGTATAGCATCTTTGCTGTGGAACTATGAAGTACTTCTGTGGACCTTCACCGTATATTAAATGTGAATGGTTTTGAAATCTTTAAAACATACTTTCTACTAAATACCGCTGTGTCTTGCTAAAAATACTTGCTTTCAGAAAATACTAGTCATACCAAAAGTTACAGATGGCTAGTTTGCCTTCTTTACGTTGTACAGGAATGATGCAAATTGAGATGAGGTGAGGCATAGTTGAATAATACGGAGTACAGAGATATCAAATGTTGCTTTACTTGCTCAAAAAAGTATCTCGGGTATTTGCACATCAGAGCCATCTTTTGCTAAGATGGACAATCAAGGTATAACAATAAAGCAGGAAAGGTAGTATCTACCTCAAACATGAATTGTTAATTTTGATGAATGCTGTTTGGATGCTTTTTCAGATTTTTGATGCTTTCAAGTGTCGCTTAAATGACTTAAACGGCAAAGTAAATCGGATTGCTTTGGAGACGATGCACCAGATAATTCCGTTGCTGAAAGACAATCTATCACCTGTGATCAACATGTTAATTCCCGCTATGGTCGACAACAACCTGAACTCCAGAAACCCGGGGATTTATGCAGCTGCCAAAAATGGTATTCAGGCTCTGTGTCAACACCTAGGTCAGTAATTTACTCCCTCTTAATTTTAAAGAGTTTTAATTGTATTAAATTCTAAACTTAAAGAATCATTCTTTCCAAGTTTCCACCCAATCATTACATTGTGTAACAAATCACTGGCTTTATTCTCGCACTTTCTACACCATACAGATCATCTCAGTATTTTGGTGGTCCAATACAGAAATACAACTTGCTGTTTTTTTCCATAGCAGATGGTTTTGGCTGTGAGGGTGACAGAGCACTGGCACAGGTTGCACAGGGTGGCTGTGGAGTCTCCACCCTTGGAGATACTCAAAAACTGCCTGTACACAGTCCTGGGCAACCAGCTGCAGAGGGTTCTGCTTGAGCAGGTGGTTGGACCAGATGATCTCCAGAGGTCCTTCACCGACTTCAACCATTTCTTGTGATTCTGTGTTTCATTATGCAGAACATTGTCACACTGCTTAATCTCCAAGAGGTCAAAGAACTAGATTCTTGCTGATTTGTGTATGCCAGGACCATTTTCCTTCCTCAACTGTTTCAGCTTTGGAGCAGAATCTCAGTATTTTCAGTAAAAGAATATGCTATGCTCTACCAGATTCTAGGAGTTAGGCCTTGTTAAAAGATTACGCTTTTATGCTTTTATGCCTTTAAATCTATCACTGTGGTTTTTGAAGCTGATATAAGTAAGGTTCTTATTTACGTTTCTGAATATTCTGTTTATTTCCAGACTGTTTAATTTTCTGTTTAACAATTGTAACACATTTTGTTCTCTGCATTTAGACAACTACTTGCTCCTTCAGCCATTCTGCACAAAAGCCCAGTTTCTGACTGGAAAAGCCAAACAAGACATAACAGAAAAGCTTGCTGGTAAAGTGATGTTTTACTTTGGATATTTATTTGTGTACTATCCTTATTAGGCAAATTCATTGTGGGATGGTGATGGTTATACATCTTCCCTTCTATCACAATAGATTGTGGGCATTAACGATGTAGTGGTTGTCAAATTTCGCTCCTTCCAATGCAAACTGGAGTTACTGCTGATCAAACAATAGCTTATTATTATGGAGTCAGATGGAAGATGTGTAAATACCCGGAAGATATTTATAAATACCTTAAGCTTATAATTTAGTATGGAATCAGAGAGAATGAGGTTTGTTTTGTAATGAGTTTCACTATGTCAGTATCAAGACTTGGGTACCCACAAGCCGCCCTCTGCCTGGTCAGCAAGCACCTCTTCCTGTGTAGGGCAGGAGGCATGGAGCTGACTGAGGAGCAGTACTCACATCCACATAAGCTTACTAGGAATCGTAGAATCACACTGGGTTGGAAGGGACCTTAAAGATCACCTAGTTCCCACATAACCCATGGGCAGAGACACCTTCCACTAGACCAGGTTGCTCAAAGCCCTGTCCAGCCTGGCCTTGAAGAATGAGCATCCGCTTTTTCTGGGGTTTTCCAGCACAGAAAATACACTGTTCTCTAAGGCTGGCTCCTACTAACTCCTGAGTTTCAGTTCTGTACCTTTTTTGCTTTTTGCAGTTGCTCTTTTTCTCATTTTAAGGCTTTTAGTAATACGTACTGGCTTTGAGCCATAAAGGACACAAGCTGAGCTGCAGTCACCACAAAGATGGCAGACTTCAGAATGGTCATGTTCCTAAAGCTTAAGAACAAATTTACTCAAAAATTAAAGGCAAATTTGGATTAAAATTTATATACACATTTTAATATTGGGGATTATTACTAGCAGAAGTGCTGAATTTCCTTTTGCTGTTTTAAGCGAACAAGAGATATCTTTATGGGAAATGGGCTTGACTCGAACAGTATATTTGGCTTAGTTTCAGAGTAGTTCTGTAATAGTGGCTGTGAAATTGAATTAAACATAACAGACAGGCTGTTCTTGAAATATTCCTAAATTTCTGCTTTCTATATGTGAAACCAGCTTTTAAACAGTCCATCTCTTGCTGGTATTTTTGGGGAGTAGTTTGTATTGTATATCAGAGGAGTCCATTCTAGCAAAAAGACAAACATTTGCAAACGAAACAATTCCTGATGCAATGGTCTAAGTAGGGAAATGCTTTAGTATAAGGCTACTTTGTTCCTTAAACTCAAAAACCTACTAAGTATTTCATAGACAGAGGGGAAATCATAAAATACGAGATGCTACACAGCGCTCCTGAGAGAAATACAGGTCCCTATTATAATCCTAACTTAAAAAAACCCAACCAATCAACCAAAAAAAAAAAAAAAGCCACTGTAAAACCAAAAAAAGAACCAAACCTGAAAACAAGTTCTTGTTTCAATTGTAAGAATGGAAAAGTGTAATTATCAGCAGTACAAGTACGACTGTGTGAACTCCTAAGAGAGGCTAAAAGGGGCGTTTGTAGGCAAAGCTGGTATTTTTAATCAGAGTGCTGATGGTGTTGCAACAGAGAAGCTCTTGTGTACAGTCAGCATTCCTTCATTAGTGCTTGAGAAGATGATTTGACATAAAGTGATTTTAAACACTTCTCAAAGCAGGGCATCACTTCTGAGTTGTGCTTTAAAGATAGTCTTCAAACACCGACTGATGACCTGCTGTCTTTCTTGCAGATATTGTGATGGAGTTATATCCTCGGAAGCCAAAGAGTGTGGAGCAGAAAGTTCTAGTTGTCCTTTGGCACCTCCTGGGAAACGTGACGAACAGTGGCTCTATACCTGGAACCGGAGGGAACATGCGGACAGCCACAGCAAAACTGTCAAAAGCACTTTTTGCACATATGGGACCAAGACTCTTAACTCGCGCTGCAGCTCAGTCACCACATATCATGAAGACTTTAGAAGAACTTTTAAAGACAGAAAGCTAAAGTAACGATCCCTATGCGTGCAGATGGACTGCTGTTTATATGGAAACATGCCACGCCATCCCGTTCTTTTGTTGTGCTGGTGTCTCTAGTGGAGAAGGGTCGTCGCTGGGAGAGCATGGACGAAAGAAGTCACCCCTAATCTGTGTGTTTCTTTAGAGACCACAGCACAGCACCCTAGGTCTAGTGATAGACTTAATGAATAAATACATCTGACACGTTTTGACTTGGTTTTAGCACTGAGCTTTACATCGGTAAATGAAAGAAAATCCTGGAGGCAGTTAAATAGCACAACAGGGTTTGGTGTGGCAGTTGTGAACATGTATTTTTATAGCCTCTGTCTGCAGGTGTGTGGTATTAGCGTGCTGTGGCTGCTGGTACGGTACTGTGACGTTGCTTGCTGGCTGTGCATGCACATTGGTACGGACAGCACGGCACCGCTATGAGGAAAACGAGCCTTTCCCTTTTCTCGGGAAGCAGTGGTAGAGCGGAGACCGTGGTAGCCGTCCCCCAGCGCCGTTACTGTCGCGTTTTACAGGGAACCTGCTTCAAATAAAAGAATTTATTTCTGTAGCGCTCCGGGCGCCGCCTCCGGGCGCCGCCTCCGTGCCCGAGGGGGGAAGCGCCAACGGCAGCGGACAGACCACCGCCATTTTGCCGGAGGAAGGGCGGACGGGGCAGGTTGGGCGCATGCGCGGCGCACGCGCACTGCGCTCTTCCTGAGGCCTAGCGGTGGCAAACGTGCGGCGGCTTGACGGTTACCAGTCTTGTGGCAGGTACCGGGAATGTGGGACCGGGAATGGAGCAGTTGCGGGAAGCGCCCGACTTGCAAGGGGGAAGGGAAGTGGTAGGCCGGGTCCCCGCTTTCTGCTCTGGTGGGTTGGCTTCCGTCCAACCCGGTGGGAAGCTGAGTCGGGCGTCGGGGGCCTGGGCCGGGCCGGGCCAAAGCCGCTGTCGAGGCCGCGCCAGACGTGCGGCACCCGCTGCCGCCTCAGCCGTTCCCCTCGCCAGCGGCTGCCGAGCACTCGGAGTAAATCAGCCCGCAGCTGGCGCTTAACGGAACGAATGTTGTGAGTAGAGAAACCTGTGTGATCCTTATGTGCTGTAACAGCTGCGAGATCTCTGGACAAACATTAGACCAGCCCAAAGTCTTTAAGTGCTTCACGGTTTGTTACATTGCCACTGTATTTCTTTAGCTTTTATTTTTTTTTATATATATATTTTTTTTTCCCTGCGAGGGTGCTGAGGCGCTGGCGCAGATTGCCCAGAGAAGCTGTGGCTGCCCCATTCCTGACAGTGTTCAAGACCAGGTTGGACTGGGCTTGGAGCAACCAGGTCTAGTAGAAGGTGTCCCTGCCCGTGGCAGAGGGTTGGAAGTGGATGAGCTTTAAGGTCCTTCCAACCCAAACCGTTCTGTGATGCTGTGACTATGATTTTGGCCACCGAAACGTTAGAGGTTGGGCAGAATGGTCCGGGCCAGCAGTGCCAGTGCAGCGCAGGCCAGCGCCAGCAGCTTCCAGGCGGCTCCCTTATCAGTGCTGTGGCACTGGTCTGAGCGGAGGTGTAAGCTGAGGCCGGAAACTCCTTGTGGTTGCCAGTTTGTGGGCTTTCCGGGATGTTTTTGTATTAATTCATGTTTATAAACGCCAGTATTGCAAAGAATAAACGTTTGATTGAAACAGGCTAAATAATATATGTTGGCATAAAAGATTTAAAATTAGATATGTTGTTATTTGATATGCCTATTTAGTTATTTAGCTTGAGTGATGTAAAAACTGGAATTGAGTTACTCTGCTCCGTGGTTGTCTGTGTTTGGTGTGTGTTGGCTTTGTGCCTGCTGCCTTCGCAACTGCCTGGAGCAAGGGCATTCATCTGGTTCCAGGAACCAGTTGTTCACGGCAGCTATAACCCTTAGTGAGTTTGGGGGATGTCTTGGTTTCTGGGGATGGGTTTAGAGCACCTTGAGTTGGAAGCAAACTGCAAAGCAGACGTTAAGATTTTGTTTGAAGCCTCATATGCAGAGGTAGTCTAGTACCATCCTCCGTCTTTTTTTTTTACTCTCCCCCTAATGTGAAGACAAGATGGATTTGGGGGGGTAGGTTTTTAAGCTGGAATACATCTGAATCAGCTAGAGGGAGAAAACGTCTGTCAAATACTAGAATAATTTTAGGTTGTGCGTTATTGCATATTTTAAAACAATTGTGTTTTTCTCAAAAATTTAGAGCTCTAAACATCCTTTATATTTTTTCAGGTGTTGGGGCTGCTGTTTGTATAGCACATGCTTCTGACACCCTGATTTTATCATCTTTACAGATGAGCTCTGAATGGTAGCGGCTGTTTTCAATGATGCAGATCTGCAGTTACCACATAAAGTTGCAAACTTATGAACTGTTTATGTTAAAGGAAAGAAATTATGTGTTTAGGATTACCAGGTGATACATACCATGGAGAACAGAAATAATTACTTTAAAAAACCAATTATTAGAAAACTTTCAGAGTGGACCATGTGGACTTTTTAATACTACACCAAGGTACTTGGCTTGGAAGCATGAACTCTGTCTCATGCACTGAAGCTGCTAAAGATAGGATAGAGAGATTTTTCCTTCCTGTCAAGAATTTTGCTCCTGTTACATTACTGATGACCTATCATTGTACTTGCTGAAGTGAAAGCAAACGTTTTAGTCTCTTTTTAGGCTTTCAGTGAGAAAGATTTCTGGCAATGCGGAGTGGGGTGGGGACTTTTTTAAATGTCAAACTTACCTGCTTCTGCTCTGGAAACTGAAGGGAAATAGGAGTGGCAGTTGCTACAGTGTGGTTGAGGCTGATAGTCTCAACGCTGTTCATCCAGAATAGATTCACACAGCTCAAAGCTCAAAGCTGCTGTATTCTATGCAGGTGCTGCATTACCTTTAACCCGTAGGTCATTATGGTCTGGCTCGAATGTGGAGAAGGTCCAGTGGAGTGCCTTGTGGCCAGGCTTTGGGCAGTGAGGCTGGACTGGTGTTTGCGGAGGAGGGGAAGGCTGGGCAGCAGCGTTTGGCAGGAAGATCAAAATAAAGAGTGGGAGGAAGATGGAGTCTGTCCTGAGGGGCAGGAGGAAGCACTTGATGAGTGAGTGTTGCATAGGGGTGAGTAGCTAGTGTCAGGGGCTACCCTGGACGCTATGTGTGGTTAGCCCTCTGCTGGTTAGCTTATCTAGGCATCTTACATATGGACTGAGTGAGGACAAGAATTGTTTTCTTTGCAGAGTTACCATGTAATCTGGTTCAGCTTGGCTTTGAGAGAACAGCTAAACATATATTTCTTTTGCAAAGAAATTATTAATTTGTATTAAGTAGGATAATTGAATAAATTTGAATGTAATCCTTTATATGGAATAAACTGTTCAACTTGCATAGGAAAGCTGTGTTGGTTCACTTTTATACCTCCATAGCAACTTGTGACAGGTTTTTAGAAAAGCCACAATGATTTGTATGTGCAGATGTTAAAATGTAGGATTGCTATTATTTGTAAATTATCTTATTTGTGAATAAGGCTCATGTGAGAAGCAGATCCAGTTGCTGGGGGTTTGTGGTGAAATACATGAATGCCTGAAGCACTTGGGAGAGTCTCAGGTGATAATTCAAACCCATGTTCTACTTGAACCTTTGCTGCAGGAATACTGAATCTTTTTGTTTCTACAGGATCTAGTACTACAAAACAGCAGTAATGTCAGCTATGGAGAACAACACAGAAAATACAGAGGAGGAGAAGCCAACTGTAAGCAACGAGAACACAGACAATAGCACCGAAACAGCAACAGAAGAACAGCTGATGGACTTCAGTACAGAAATTATAGGTGTCACTGAGATGGAACAATCACCTGATAGTTCCCCTGGCCTGAATGCAGACAGCATGCAAGAGAGTGAAATTCCTGCTATCGAAAGTTTACAGGCAACAGATACTGAGGCTGGCTTTCCTCCAGATTTTGACAAGTTCTGGAAAGTAGTAGAGGACAATCCCCAGGATTTCACAGGATGGGTATATCTACTACAGTACGTAGAGCAGGAGGTTAGTACAGCACCCTATTCTCCTTAGCTTTCGAGAAATAAACAAAGAAAACCCAAACAAGTCACGGATATTCCAGTGACCAGTCTAGAACTGTACATCAGGTGTTCATGGGTACTGTTTGAAGAAGTTGCCCTTGTCAGTGTTGCCAGAAGAGATCACACAATAAAAACTATTGCTTTTAAGAAAATGTTAAAGTAGTAATTGTTTTCAAAATAACATGAAGGGTTTTTAAAGGAATGGATTCATTGCTTTTATTGTGCATTTCTTGCAGAACCACTTACCAGCTGCCAGGAAAGCATTTGACAGATTTTTCACACATTATCCATATTGCTATGGATATTGGAAGAAGTATGCAGACCTTGAGAAGCGACATGACAACGTTAAGCAGTCTGACGAGGTATGTAGGTAGCTGGATGCAGCTATTGCCATTGGTCCTGTTAGCCAAACAATGACTAACCTACCGCAAGTCATTTGGCTGCCAGTACCTGCCATCTGTGGCCAGGTTTGTAGGGATTTTGTTTGCACTTGTCACATCTGTGGCATTTGTAGCTAATGTTTTCTCTCTTTGTTGGCAGGTGCGTTAAACCTCTACAGTTTGTCAAGCTTTGCAGTGCAAGCCTCTGTATTACACTGCAGCTTAACAAGTAGGGCAGGGCTTTTCTGTCACTTACATTTATTATTCATTTTCGAAACAATATAGTTGGTTTGCTGGTCACAATTGCTGCATCTTATTGCATTTTTGGTCAGACGCTGTCAATGATGCTCTAATGGGTCTGTGCCCTATGGTCTGTACCCCAAAGCCTGCCCACACAACCTGGTCAGAATGCAGGGACCGCTGCGCTTTGAAGATCAAGACTCTGCACGTGGAGATCAGAACATTGCCATGTTCTATCCAACCTCCACCCGAATGGTAATGGTAGATTATTTAAACAAAATTCCAGTAATTAGTATTTCTAAGGTTCACCGGATAACACAGTGTTGCCTCTCTATTAGGACACCATTATGTATTTGAAGTACAGTTCATGTTCTCTTCATAGGTTTATCGCAGAGGGCTTCAGGCAATTCCTCTTAGTGTCGATCTTTGGATACATTATATAAACTTCTTAAAGGAGACTTTGGACCCTGCTGATCCTGAAACGAGCAGTACAATTCGAGGGTAAGTTGAACACAGACTGAGTGATATAGAAAGCCTGTATGTACGTTATATAGCAGTATAATCAGATTAATATGTTTAAGATGAGGGGCAAGGTAGTTACTGCAGTTACTGTAAGGACTTTTAGGAGACGATGAAGCCATATTCCCTAAGAATGGGTGGACGATACAATGTGGTACCAGGGTCAGAAGTTGTGACTTGAGAGTTTCAGACTAGTCATTAGGAAATGCTTTGTGCATTATTCTATGGGGATCTGGAGCAGGTTCTCCATAGAATTTTTGGAATTCAGTTTCTTGGAGGTTTTCAAGGTATGGCTAGAATGTGTCTGACCTCACCTGTTGCTGGCAGTGGTCCTTGTTAGAGTAAGATGGACTGAAGTTTGATCCCAAACCTTATTTGAGCTTTAACTGAAGCTTCTAGCAACATGATTGATATATGACTTTTGAGTGTTAAACTCAAGTAAGGCCTTTAGACTCTTTAGACAAAAGTGGTAAAGGTTGTGTATTTCCCTAATGTCTTGCATTCCTGCAAGTAGCTTTTTGTGTTGCCTGTATTTTTTCTGTTGTGGTAGTGCTGGAGTTAAAAAGCAGTGAGTGTAAACTTTGCAGAGATCTTGCTACCGATGTCTAGAAAATACTTTGAATAATTTAAATAATGACTATAAGTGTGGTTGCAAGTAAAAGAGGATGCTGCTCATAATCTTCAAGGAAGAGCCAGAAGTTTTCCTCCTTGTTCTGTCACTGCATCCAGAAACTGTAAAATTATTTTGTTTTTCAGCGCCTATGAACATGCAGTCTTAGCTGCTGGGACAGACTTCCGTTCTGACAGACTGTGGGAAATGTATATAAACTGGGAAAATGAACAGGGAAACTTAAGGGAAGTTACATCCATCTATGACCGCATCCTTGGAATTCCAACGCAGCTGTACAGTCATCACTTCCAGAGGTAAAGAGAAAAGGAAGATTTAATGCTGTGCATTTCTTAAGTACACACTAATCTACTTCTGTAAGCGTGGAAATGCTCACTCGGAACAGGAACTTGAAATAGTTACTTAAGTTTATGTACTTTTTTAAGTGCTTCAAAGTACTCATCCACATTGTAGGAATTAGGTTTTAGATAAGTTCACAAATTCTGCTGTGGAATAAAGGAAGGCTTTGGAATTGTGAGGAAGAGCAGAGGATGTGGTTGAAAAATCAGAATGAGCAGTTTTGAAATTCAATTCTTTATGCAGTGCTCTCCTGAAACTAATTGACAAGAGAGAAATACTTGGTTAAGTTTTAGACGGGAATTCTGCATTATTAATGGACTGGTTAAGAGGAAACGAGAAACCTTAGTTATATTACACACTAGTCTTTCCCAAAGTTGCCACAGATCTTTTGTGTTTGAAAGTGAATTATATCTGGTTTGTCCTTAGCCATTAATTTTACATGGCAAGTGATTTGTCTTTGTCACTGCAGTTCATCATCCTTCCATTTCTCTTTGAATTTTGAAGTCTGATAGTGGTAGAAGTTGCATTTTATGTGTATATGTTGTCAGAAGTTGCATTCTTGGTGTGGCTCTAGATTGATAAAGTAATGCAGGATCCCACAGGGACTTGTTATTGTGCTCTGCTTAAGCAGAATGTTGCAGCATGAAACTTGATTTGTTTCTAACTGTTCTTAGGTTTAAAGAACACATACAGAACAACTTGCCTCGAGACTTTCTGACTACTGAGCAGTTTGTTCAGCTGCGCAGAGAATTAGCGTCTGTGAACGGCCACAGCGGGGAGGACGCGCAGCCTGATGATGACCTGCCTTCTGGTGCTGAAGACATAACTGACCCTGCCAAGGTACAGGTGCAGGGGGTGTTCATTGGTATTCTGTTCCTTACTCTGTGCCTGAAAGACAAGTTTGTTTGCCAAGAGTTTAGCATATCTGTAGCTGAGGTGTTTTCATAGTTCTGCTTATCATTGCTCTTTGGCTTGTGTGATAACTACTGTCTACAGGATTCACCTTTCCGGTGTTTTCATAGGCATTAAAGAAATGGAATTTAGAAGTGAAATAAGTGATGTGCAGAACTTTTGGAATTAATTAATTCTTCCAGATTAAGAGGTTAGAAACTGTGGTCTAAGAAACCTCCTCATCAGCAATGTTCTCTGCAGGTCAGAGCCTTCATGGGCATATGAAAACTTGACTATCCAAAGGAATTGCTGACTGAAAACAAATACATACTGACACTAAGTTTGACGGGGGTCCAAATTAATCTCTGATCTCAATCATCTGTGGCATAGGAGCAAAGCTTCGGATAGAAACCCTGTTCAGCAGGGCTGTGCTGGGAGCAGTGTCCCATCCTGTCCCCTGGATCTTCAGGGTAGAGTGTAATGCATCTGTGATAGTTTTAATTTCTGCGTATTTCTGTCATCATGAAATGCATTTACAAAGGTTATATGGTGTCTACCTGAGTTATCTTTTTAAAAATTATGTTTTAGCTGATCACTGAGATAGAAAACATGAGGCACAGGATCATTGAGATTCATCAAGAAATGTTTAACCACAATGAACATGAAGTCAGTAAGAGGTGGACATTTGAAGAAGCGGTAAGTTTGTTTTTCCTGTGTAAGGCAGCGTGCACAAGAGCTCTGAACAGAGGCCTGGGAGCTAGGAATTTTTGAGTAACGGGTCACACAATTTAAACTCTTGTGGGCTTTGAACAAAGACCAAGTTTCACTTCTCTGCCATTTTTCTTGTGAAAAGGCAACTTGTGAGGTCAACTCTGTCATGTGATGGCTTAAAAAGTCTTTAAGAGGTATATGGAGAGAGACAGGGTGGTGTGGTGATTAGTAAGTGGCCTTGCATGAAAAATTGTGTTGATTGAGTGCTGCTTTATGGATCTGGGGTGATACAGATTAAGGTCAAGAAGATGATTCTCATTGAAAAGGTAAGCCTGTTTTAAAAGGAGAACGAAGTTTGTGTGGTTTTCTATTTTAACATTGCAGTCTTAAACCTGAAATCAGTTAGGTTTTCCAAAATTAGCAATCATAATGTGCAGCTCCTGTGTGTAATGTGTTAACAGTAATTAATTGTTTGATCACTTTACATACAGAATTTTTTCTATGTAGGATGAAGTTTGGTTACTTTCGAAAATCAGTCTGAGTTTTTCGTTCTCAGCCTTTTTTGATTTTTTTCTTCCTGGCAAATATCATGTTGCATAACATGGTTCTTGTTTTAAGTTCACTTTTGTTTTAAAGAGTACATTGTACAGATGCCTTGTAAACCACAGGTGTCATGGAAGGGACCTCAAGGATCATCAGGTCCAGCTTTTCTAGCAAAGCATGACATAGGCTTAATAAGTGTCTCACCACTCTGTCCAGCCAGATCTTACCAGTATCTGATGTAAACTTGAAAGCATGGTACGTGACCAGTAGCAGTACTGTAGTGGAGGACAAGGCGTGCCTTGGTGGGGGTGGTGGCAGTTTGCCCTTCCTGTCCCACAGCAGCCTGAAGGGCTGTTACAGCCCTTTGTGTCTCCGGAGGCAGCAGAGTGTGTCCCTGGAGTATGTAAGGCTCAGGTATGCATATGTGTGGAAAGTGGTTATGTGAGTAAGGTCTTCTTGACTAAGAGAAACTAGCTACAGATGGTTGGCATATAGAAGAATTATGAAACTGTGGACATGTTGCAGAAAATATGCCAGAAAGAGGGTGTCCTCTTTTCTGCTGGCCAGAATCAGTACTTTCTCTATCAAGAGAGTTTATCTGGTCGTTAGATACCAGTGTGCTGGATCCAGGAGGAGTTTAAAATACAAAGTTAAAGAAGTCTTTGTAATGGACAGAAATGAGGTTATTAAGCAACAGGATATCGCATAAGTGATGGAGGCCACTTAGACCAGTTTTATTTTAGTGGGAACAATGTGCCTGTGAATCTGCCAAAGTGGAAAAAGAGTATTGGGCTCCCTTACAGAGGTCGGTGAGGAGTGTGGTGGGGGTGATCGGCTTTAAATTTCAGTTGGCCTTGAAGAATTGGATGTTATTCCTTGATTACCTTCTTTATCCATTCTCATTTATTTGTATCGGAGATACTGCAGTACAGGAGAGAAATGATCAGGTAAAATTAAAGGTGAAGAAGAGAAAAATCACAAGATCTCTGGAAAGATGCTTTGCTGTGGTTATTTCAAAGCAGTGTTTTGCTTTGCTATGCTGAACTCTGTCCCACCCAGCTTCTCTTGTGGGCATCAGAAAATGCACAATCTTAGAATAACCAGTTTCATGTACATAATTAATGTGAAGTTCAGTTCAATGCTCTGTCTTCTCTTTGTCTCAACCAAATTTTGCATTTAATTTGTAGGCTATGCGCTAGTACAACAGTAAGTACTTCAATTGTATGTATGTGTATATGTGACCAATAGCAATTGTTGTCACCACAGGTTTGCAAGGACTGAACTGTGGTGAGTTCTTCCTCAGTTCTGTACATGCTTGCACTCAAAAATCTTCCTAGAAAAACCAAGGTACAAGCATAGAGTATAATTGTTGGCAAAATATCTTGATCAGTACTTGGGTAACCCCAGCAGACTTGTGTGAATAGATAATGATGTCCCGTTTATTTAAATGGCATTACTTGAATGGTATTGTGGCTGTTTGTTTTGGTTTTTTTTAACACAACTCGGTGGTGTGCTTATTAGTCACAAGTTGCCATGCTGTGACTCTTGCAGATAAAGAGGCCTTACTTTCACGTAAAACCTCTGGAGAAAATTCAGCTGAAAAACTGGAAAGAGTACTTAGAATTTGAGATAGAAAATGGCACTCATGAGAGAGTTGTGGTCCTCTTTGAAAGATGTGTTATTTCATGTGCCCTCTATGAGGACTTCTGGATTAAGGTAAGGGAAGGGGTTTACCACCCATCTCCTGCCAATGGCATACATTGATCTAGTGACTAACCTTTTGTACTCTTGTGGAACGTTGTTCATATATAACTATATCTGTTGCATTAGGAGATGGTCTGCTTGCAACCAGATTTGACTGCTGCATATGCCAACTTCGTTGCCTCTCTACGTCCTTCCTTACAGAAACTAGTCTAGTGGTTCCATAAAGGTGCTGAATGGGTTTAAACAAAAGAATTTTATCGTTCTGTCATGTTTTTAAGACAACTATAAGCTTTAAATTTTCCAATCTCTGCTCTGTTTTCAACTATAGTATGCCAAATACATGGAGAATCATAGTATTGAAGGCGTGAGGCATGTCTACAGCAGGGCTTGCACTATACATCTTCCTAAGAAACCAATGGTTCATATGCTGTGGGCTGCCTTTGAGGAACAGCAAGGTGAGAGCAGCAGTCATTTTTCCTGGGAGGGATTCTGTTTTTAAGAGGCTGTGGATGTCTCATATCTGAAAGCGTCTTTACCGGTGTTTTAGGCAACATCGACGAAGCAAGAAGAATCTTGAAAACCTTCGAAGAGTGTATTCTAGGGCTAGCAATGATCCGCTTGCGAAGAGTGAGCTTAGAACGCAGACATGGAAACATGGAAGATGCTGAACACCTGCTTGAAGAAGCTGTTAGAAATGCCAAATCAGTTAGTGAATCATCATTTTATGCCATCAAATTAGCTCGACACCTCTTCAAAGTACAGAAAAATCTTCCAAAGGCAAGAAAAGTGCTGTCAGAAGCCATAGAAGTGGACAAAGTATGTGTTTCCTCTTTGCTATCTTAAAAACACCCCCAAAAAATAGACTGTGTTTTTTTTCTCTCTTTCTAAACCATGGCAACAATGATGACAGGAGTTTGTACCTGGATGTGGTGTTCCCTTACTACATGGAGACAACAGTCCCTCTAACCTGATGTTGCCATACTTGCAGCTTGCAGATCTGGAAGTTTGCAGGTTTTTTTAATCAGAAGCATTGTGTGCTTCATACTTTCAGTTTTCCTTTCCACAGTCTCAAATATAGGCATGTTCACACCTTAAGGTGAACTGAATGGATCATGTAGGCAGTACTTGCAGGCCGTTTTGTGTAATCACAGAAACGTTTGGCACTCTGAATACTATTAGCTTACTCTCAGCAAAGTGTGACATCTGTCTTTGTAGTGTCACGCTATGAAACATGTCTCTGAAGTGTCACTTCTGTTTGTGAAACAAACCAGGTCAAAGATGACCAATGTAAAAAGAAAAACTTGTTGACTATTCTGGCTTACATTTGTGGTTTAAGCATTCTGCTCTGCATCTGGTAGACGTAGATACAGTGTCAAATACCAAGTCTGACAGCTCTGCAACTTCTAATGCATTTTTTGCACAGGAAAATACAAAGCTGTACCTCAACTTGCTTGAAATGGAGTACAGCGGCGATCTCAAGCAGAATGAAGAAAACATCTTGAGCTGCTTTGATAAAGCTGTCAATGGCGCCTTGTCTATAAAAATGAGGATTACGTTTTCTCAGCGAAAAGTGGAATTCCTTGAAGATTTTGGTTCCGATGTAAAGAAGTAAGATGTGATCTGTGCAACAGCCGAATTAGGGTCACCCAAAGAGCACTTGTGGAAGGGGTAGGGACGGGTTGGGTCAGTGGTATCCTTTAGGTGGTTCCTGTGTGCTATCATCTCTTTCTTGAGGGATAGCTGCTTTGCAAAACGAAATTCCTTTTTTTAAATTGGAATCTCTTTTCAGAAAATTATCCTTTTTTTTTTTTTTTTTTTTTCCCTGAGATATAGTAAAGCCTGTAACTTTCTGCTGTGGTTTTGCTAAGTCTTAGAGGAGGATGCTCTTCCAAGGGAACATGTTTTATGACAAGGGTGTGATTTGATGTTCTACACCCTGTGAGCTGCTGCTTGAGGTTTCCAAAACCACATTGATGTGATTGTTCTGTGTTCGGAAGTATTAACAATGCTATGTGCTTATGTGGGGGATCAGGTACTAGAAGTCCAACCTTTAAATTTAATACTAGATACACCTTTTTCCTCTTAATTCACTATTGCAAAACAAGCTCTTGTTTTTATTTACACATTGCTGCTGAATAACCTGGAAGAGCTAACCACGAGTTAGTTTTTCTGCTTTGTATGCTTTTAACAATAGCTATCCTTAGTTCCTGCTGACTCTGACCATTCTAACTGGCATGGCAGCCAAGTGCTGCCAGCCTGGGATCCTGGGTAGACAAAACAAAGTGAAGTTTTCAATTCCCAAATAATAGTAGAACACAGAATAAACACAAAAAACTGTTTCCACCAAGAGCAGTACGAACAGAAGCAGCAGTTTTCATAAACTGGTCTGCAGCAGCTGAAATTGTGTTTCCTATTTTGGGAAATAATACTTTGCTATTAGTGGGAATTTTAGCTAGCACTCTTGTGCTGCACAGAATACACATTCTTCCCATGTTGTTTGGCAAAAGGCTATAGGTGCTGCTTTAGAATTGTAATAATTTTGTGTAATACTAATTTCCAGTATTTAAAGAAGTGTTGATTGCTAAATCTCGGTGCTGCTGTGGATGGCATCAGCATGCACCTGAGGAATGCAGGTGCTGGAAGGAGCAGCCATATCAGAAATAAGTTTAGGAAAACATCATAAAGGGGAACTTTATAAAAACCACATGAAGCATGATAAAAGACGAGCAAGTTGGGGATTCCTGAGCTAACAGAAAATACTTCACTATGCACTGGGGAGCCAAATTAAGTTTTTTGGCTTTTCCATCTCTGTGGTGGATCACTGATAAAGAATTGATTATGATTCAGTTTGATTTAGAATTGTTTTGCATTTTTACAGCTTCAAGTAGATGTTTTAGAATGGTTTAAATGTTTGCATGAAAATAGTGAGCAAAGCTCTGTTCCTTTTTGCCTCATCAGGCTTCTGGATGCTTATGATGAACATCAGGCCCTTCTCAAGGAGCAGGATTCTTTGAAAAGGAGAGCGGAGAACGGGTAGGCAGCCTGCTCACCTGGGGAGTAAGCTGGATCAATGGCTGATGCAGTCCAGGGTAGCTGGGACATAGACTACACTGAGCTGTAGCTGATACAAAGCACTTTGGAGATGACTGAAAAATAGTTCAGAGAACAGTCTTGGAAACTGTATTTTTCTTTAGTCTATGATATATATACCACTTTTTTTTTTTAGCTTTAAAGCTACTGCTTGCTAGAGCAAAACCACTATGTTTTTTTAATCACTTAAAATACACTAAACAGGGCTGTACTGTTGGCTTCAATATTTGGAAATGGATTTATTGGAAAGTAACTTTCTGAATTGTTTCTCAGGACAGCTAAACAATACTGGGAAAAATAACTCAATCTTTAAGCAGAAATATGCTTCTGCTGTCCCATTGGATTCACCAGAACAGTTAAAAACCCAAACTATTGTTCTGAAGCACAATATACTACTGTCTTTCTCTAAATCAAATTCTGCTTCCCTGTTTGGACAGGGCACCACATCTGAAAATACTGCTTAATTTCATCCGTTACAACATTTCTCACCCAGAAGCTCGGCATTTAATCTAAGGTACCATTTACAAGCGTGTGTTAACTTCACAGGTCAGAGGAGCCAGATGAAAAGAAAATGCTAACAGATGACCCAACACTTTCATCAGCACAGATGATGGATGGAGACATGCAAGTCAATCAGGCAGCATACAACTACAATGCCTGGTACCAGGTGGGTGCACACTTGTGGTGCTGCGCTCAGCGTGCATGTTCTGTATGCACACGTTGTGCTTTTCCCCGTGACTGTGGCCCAGCATCAGAAGCTTGGAGTAGAAATTTAGCTTCTGGTTTTGTTGATTCCCCTGTAGCCTGTTACGCAAGTGTAAGGTATTTGTCCTTGTGCAGCCGGAGGAGCAGTTTGGTGCCAGCTCTTCACGTGAAGGGGTGCATTACAGCTGTTTGAGACGTTGCTGGCTGAAGGCAAAATGCTTTGCCCAGGAAACTCACTTTGGGATTCCAGTATACTGTGTGTTTTGGGAGTTAACTTCTCTAACTAGTGGTTCCCATAACATCTCGGTATGGGTTCCATTGCACTCGTATGGTGTCCATGCAGAATCGGCCCATTCAACAGCTTGGCCCGTGGGTCTGCTAGTGCATGGCATTGTTTTGTCCCCTTGAGGGGCTTAAAGAGGGAATTGGTAATACCACACCTTGATTTCCTCCTTTTGTGACAGCAGCAACCTCCAGCATGTGTCCTGCTTCCTTCTAGACTGATGGTGTGGTTTTCTCCAAGGGGCAGGCTGTAGAGCCTTGTCTTTCTGTGCAAGGTAAAGGTGGGTGCTGTTGGTGCCCTCTCAGCTGAGATGAGAGCAATGCAGGCTTGTAGTGTTAATTCTTTTGAGTTATGAGTAACTAAGAGTCTGGCTGAAGCTTTTCCTCAAGCATTTTAATGAAAACTGTTGTTCAGGCTGTAAGGAGCCTGCCAAGCCAGTGAGAAAAGCATTTGCAGGTGGGACGTGACACAGCCATTGTGTAACTGTGATTTAAAATTGCCTGTGTCAAGGTTAAGTGTTCTTTCCAAGTCAGGCAGTGAAAGGTGCCTCACGCCCTCAGCATGGGAAGACTCTGCCCAGCACTGGGCCGGGAAAAATGCTGCATGTTTCCAGATTCAGAATGGTGGGAGTGGCAGGCTGATAGTGCTGGTGATCTGCGTCCTGTGGTTGAGACAGTAACTTCATCACTGTCTGCCTGCTGTGCATTTTACAGTCTGCTTGAGAATAGCAGAGGCATGTGTTCTTGCTGTCCCCAGAAGGCTTTGCTGCCTGGGCACAGCTCATGGCAGTGTAGCCATGGGAACCGTCTTGGTGACAGTCTCTGCTGGCAGCAGACAGCTGGGTTCAGTGTGAGGGAGTGGTGTTGGGGCACTTCAGCCGCTCCCACTCCGAGGGACATGCTATGATGGGGGACATGAAGCTAGAACACAGGCTGTTCCTGCGTCCCTCGCCACCTGCTCCCTCTTTTTCCCTGCCTTTTAAGTCTTGTTGACAGGGAAGTGACAGGGAGCTGCAGAGCAAGTACCAAGGGGGTATCTGAGGAACAAGAGGGGGCCCCTGACTTCTCCTATACTGGAAGACTCATCATTTGAGTCTTTATTAAGTGACTCAAACCATGAGGGACAGCAGTACTCCCTGCATGCTGGCCCTTGGTACAAGTCTGGCCCTGGCCTTGTGACTGCAGCCGCTTGTTTCACAAAGATGCCTTGCAGCAGGGGGTCAGGGTGGTTGGGAGTTGATGGGCCTTGTGCTGCAGGAGAGCACCCCTGGGTGTTCTTCTGCCTTCCATGTCGACCTGAGGCACCAGCTGCATGCAGGACCTCTCTGTACAGAGACCTCACTATGGTGGCTGTAACATGGTGACCATGCTGGCCACTGCAATATAACATTCCTTTCTGGAATGGCAGCCAGCTGCTCATTGGGGATTCCATGTGGAGCATGGGCAATCTGACTTACAGTATCCTGTTCTTGGGGTTTTTTTCCAGTACAATTACCAGAATGCATGGAATTACGGACAGTACTATCATGCAACTTGATCCGAAGAGTGAGTGCCGCAGTTTCAACAAAGATGGAATACAAAGAAGTTATATTTTTCTAAATTAGGGATGTGGAAGAACTGTTGTAATACCTGCTTTTTGGTCTTCTGCATGTGAAGTGAGCTGGTGTTCCCAGGGTATGTGTGAAGCAAGATCTGTGTGCTGGTAACCGATAAATGGTATCTCTGTACAACTCTAGTTTACCATAAATGCATTTGTTTTGTTTTTTTAATTCCCTGCACTAATTTATGGAGGTATCTGAAGAATTTTTTTGGTCTCAGGCTGATGCTGTGGATTTAACCAGTAAAGCTCTAGGGGTTTTGCTTTGGTTGGGTTTCCCCCAAGGCTGTTGTGCCATGCCAGCTGCCGCAGGATGCAGCAACTCAGGTGCACAGCACTCCTCTCCTGCTCTGCTCTCCAGCTGTATGTAATGACCTACTTCTATCACAACATCTTCTCTGTGCCCATGAGCCAACCCAGACTGCTTTGTGGTGTAAAGATTGAAACTTTGATGACACTGGCAGCCTTTGCAAGCTGCGGTACGTATTTTCTATTCCATGTGGGGGTCAACAATTAAAATGCAGTGCAAAATGATGTTGCATTCTTTTTTAAAAAGCACAAACTGTGTTTGGGATGATTTTTGTATTTAGAGTTTTTCATGTACACAGTGTGAGCAAACTTTTTTTCATTTTGATCAAAGTGATCATTCCCATTTTTATAATAAAAGCAAGGAATTCAGTAGTCCTCTGAGCTTTCTTGGATTGCCTCATTCAAGCCAGGAGTAAGAATGCTGGAGTCTCAGTTCCACCCCTCTCCTGTTCAAACAAATGCCTGGGATATAAATGTAAATGTTTCCTTCTTATTTAGGTTAACTAAAATTGTTGGTCAAGTGCTTCTGTAAAATGTAGCAGCTTCACCAAAGGTGACAGGAAGTGTATGGCTGAAGGCCTGAGCAGGGTGTTGAAGCACATGCTGCTCTGTAACAGCCTGCTCAGCCCTAGGAGGGAAAATAAAACCACAGGTGGCAGTTTGAGGTGGGAATGCTCATCCTGTAACAGTTTGCTGGAGGTCTGCGCAATTCTCCCCTCCCAAGTAACAGAAGGAAGTTACGAGGTGAACATACAGACAAAACCGTGAAGGGACGTGGTGCATGTACAAACTATGTTTTCTTTAGTGCTATGTTACTGTACAGCATTGGGGGCAGGGACAACAAACAATTTCAAGTACAAGGCCACAGCTGTAACTGTATCCAGGAGTTGCAAGAGCATTGACAGAAGCTTTCTTGATCGTAAACAGATTCCCAGCAGCAAAGGAAATGCTTTATTTCATTCAATATCCACCAGTTCCACCTCAAAGAAAAGTTTTGCGTTTGGTGGAATCCTGTTTGCACACATTAAGGAAGCTTAAAAACAACCTCACACCCTGCCCCCTCTATAGGCATCACTCACTGGTGAATGACTTGCCACCTCATGGTAAATTCTAATGTGGAATCCTTACAGAACCACAGCTGCTGTCTGATGTGAGCTGTTATGGGATGTGCAGTCCCAGTTCATGAGGCTGTGCTGCTCCTTATTCCTGTTCCTCAGAAGAGGAGCAGCTGAGTCTCACCTGAGCTGCCTGAGTGTTGTCTTCATTTCTCCACTGCAGGGCTCCCTACAGGCCTGTTCCTTCCCCATCTATTAAGTGCACTTGAGTTTCTTCAGGCTGTTAACCTTCTAAGCCTGCTACAAGTAACAAGTGAATGCTGCTGATTGTATCTCTCTCTGTAAAGTACCTGACTGCAACAAGCATTCCCAAATTACTCAATGGGTAATCAGCTGTGGAAGGATACTTGGCATCAGGCTGGCCTTTCTTGCCATATGCCCACTCGGGTTCAATCTCCAGCTGAGCCTTCTCTCCTTTACTCATTGTTAAGAGGGCTTCATCCCACTGAAAAACAAAACCAGAACAAGCTCAGACCAACCACAGAACCACCATATTCCATGCTCACACATACTTGTGCAGCCCACACTGTTCTCTGCAACCCCCTAGCCCACCCCAGTGTGCATGTTGGGCAGTTTCACATTCTATTTATTCATGCCTTTACACTGTCATGATGATGCTTGTTGCTAGGGAAGTATTTCCAGTTTCAGAATGCATTTCCCAGCAGACCACCACACACACAATACCAAGGGGCTTGTCTCTGTGCCCCATGTTTCCACACCATTCTGCTGCATCAACTGTTTATTTAAGGCTGATGCATAAAGACTGATTTCATTTCTATGCTTGTCTCTCTTGTGACCCATTCGTGCTGCCTAAAGCCTGTATTCAGAGTGGCACCATATCAGCATTTCACAACAAACAGTTGCTGCCCATGTCTGGTAACAGCTGAAAGAAGGTACCTGGCACCCACACAGACACAAGTGCTATGCCAAAGGACTGAAGCAAAACCCAGGCAACTGCTGCTGCAGTGCTGGCCACAAGGCCCAGGGACATTTTCCCCTCCCAGTACACTCCTGTCACCCATAAAGGCCTCTTCCCTGCCCAGCAGCAACATGGAAGATGATGTTGGGTTGGATTTGTTTTGTTCTTAAAGTTGGGTAAGTATAAGATCCTTCCTATGTCCTTACCTTGTACAGGCAGACACTGATTTCACCACACAGCAGCAGCTGCTGCCAGATTTAAGCACCTCATTTGCTTTGCACATAAGTCAGAACCTCCTGGACACTTTTAAGTTCACACCAGTGTCCATGTCTTCAAGTTGTAAACTAACAGGGTGTGCAAAACACTCTTCTACTGAGTGCTTTTGGTCTACCTAGATACCACTCCTCATGCAGCTTCTACCTGCGCTGCCTTAGCACTTACTGCTGGCTGCGGCAGAGGAGTTGCAGCATCAAAACTGCAACTCATTTCAGTGCACAACAGCAACTAGAGTTTGGACTTTCAGAATTCTGTTCAGAGTTAAGGGATGAACTGAACCAACTGTGAAGAGGCCCTGAGGCAAATACAAAAAAGAAAAACGGTGAGAAGAAACAATGTTCTGACAGACTAAAGCACACAATGAGAAAGGCAGAGATCTGGGGTTCAGCCTGGAAAAGGCTCTGGGGAGACACTGGAGCAACTTCCAGTGTCTAAAGAGGCTGCCAGGAAATCTGGAGAGGAGCTTTTTACAAGGGCCTTTAGGGACAGGACATGGAAGAATGGCTTTAAACTGACGGAGGGGAGAGTTAGATCAGATATTAGGAAGAAGTTCTTTACTATGGGGGGTGTCGAGGCCCTGGCACCGGTTGCCCAGAGAAGCTGCCCCATCCCTGGCAGTGTTCAAGGCCAGGTTAGAAGGGGCTTTGAGCAACCTGGTATGGTGGAAGGTGTCCCTGCCCATGGCAGGGGGTTGGAACTGGATGATCTTTAAAGTACCTTCCAACTCAAACATTTCTATGATTCTATGACTCTATGACTGCATAGTGATCGATGGGACACCCAGGAACGTACAAACTTTTCTGTTGTGCAAAGCTCTGCAGGCATGTGCAAGAGACTCTGCTTGTCCTGAGAACATTCAGTTGTTACACTGTTCCCCACACACCACTTTGTGAGAGGAGTGACACTGCTGATGGATGAAAGCACCTATAAGCAATAAATATTACATCCTGTGGTCAGCAATGCTTTCAACTTGCCATTTACCTCCAGAAGAATCAAGGACAGCAGCTCAAATCATGCAGCCTGATCATAAATCTTGCAGAATTCTGAGGGAGTTATTAATGTTTTACTTACACCTCTGATTACTTTTCCTACGCCAACCTTGAAACTTAAAGGTTTAGCTGCTTTTTTCTTCTTTGAACCTGAAAGACAAGTTTTACAACCATTTGCTTTAACATCGCACCAGCAAACACTCTACTGTCTAAAATCAGAGTTAGGATCATGCTTTATACAAATATCTAATTATAATATTATTTTTAGCCCACTATCAGATACTTAGGGGGAAATGTAGTGCTGTGCACCAGAAACATTAAATGTTGAAGTTGCACCAAGATCTGAAGCTGTTGAGTATGTTTTGGATACTGATCCAGCGAACATCAAAGACTCATTTGTGAATTTCTGAAATTGATGATACAAGTCATAAACACATTAGTGAAGCAAATATAACTCTATAGGGAACGTACAACATCATACAGCATGTGCAATGACTCAGTATTCAGTGATAGCCCTGCTGTTCCACTCAGTGTTGTGTATCACTGCTGGAAAAGCGCTTCTAGTACTGCAGGATTTCATATCCCTTAATCCTCTGATCTACAAACTGCTACAAAAATACCAGCAGACTTCTCCACAGACTACTTCAAATCACTGTACTGTCTTGTATCGCTCTTGTTACAGTGCCTCCATGTTTAAAGGTTTATTATAGGAGTACACTATGATGTGGCTATTTAGAGAAGGTAACTATACTGATGGTGGTCAAGTTCCATAGGTAAGGGAAATTCCCAAGCAGGAGCCATCTTTCTTCTGATTATATCTATGCATTTCACATTATCTGTGGCCTGGAGAATGCCAAGCGTGAGGTCTGGCAAGATACACCAGTGTCACTTGACACCAGCCAGTCCCAAAATACTGCCCTGCATTGCCTCATGGAAAATCAGGAGTGGCTGCAGGGACAGCCCCCTCAGCTCAACCGCCTGATGGCAAAAGCAGTTCATCAGGACTCCCACCACACACTAATGGCTAATTTCCTCTGCATGCATTTACAACAAAAGCCAAACAGTATATATATGACCTTACTTGTTTGAATATTGGTATCGAAGACTGTTCCATCCTGCAGCTTTCCTGTATACCAGCAGTGAACAGTGTCTCCTTTCTTTGGAAAGTTCGTCTTATCACCCTTCTTTAAAATTGATTTTGTATACTTTGGAGGCCCCTAAGTTTATAAAAACAGAGTTATGACTGCTGCATTAACGAGGCTCGGCCCAACCACACTCAAGACTGAACCCCACTTAGCTGAAGCACCAAATGAACACATGCAATGTCAGCAAATGGCATGTTCACGTACTACTGTGGGGCAGTCATACTTGGGCACAAATATAGCAGCATTGATGCAGTTTTCAGCAAAGACTGAGGCTGTAGGAGAAATGTACATCTGGGAGAAGGGCCCATTGCTAATGTAAGCCACAGAAGGTTTACAAGGCTAAGGTTTGATATAAACACCAGACTTCTTGCTGTAACAAAGTTTTTTAAGACCTAGATGATTTGGCTGCCCCACGCAATCCCCAAACCAACACAAAGCAGAGGTGCAGCACCGACCTCTTCCACGGCCTCTTCAGGCTTCGCTGCTTTCCCCTTGGCCTCCTCCGCCTTAGTGGGCTTTGCCTTTTCAGTCGCCTTCTCCGCACCGTCCGTGCCCTTGAACCGCTAGGGATGAAGAGGGGCGGCAACCGTCACCCACCGCCCGAGTCCTGGCCCCCAGTCCCGCCGCCGCGGCTCCGTACCTGAGTGTTGAAAAGCTGCGTGTAGGCCGCGATGAGCTGCTCCTTATTCGCCGTCTTCGCCACGTTCTTCACCTGCCCCAGCAACTTGTGCTCGGCCAGGAACTGCAAGATACGCCGGTGAACAACGGAGAGGCACCCCTCTCTACACACACACACACATCACCACCAACCCCCCTTTCTCGCCCTTACCGCCTGGGCTGCATGCTCCTGAAGGAACTTGATAATATCCTTCTTAGGCAGCGACTCGCTCCGCAGCTCCTCAGTGCTCCAGGGCTGCGCCGGACC